AACTCCCATTTCGGAACACTCTTGGAATCTTGGGCTCCTCAAGGACAGCTTTTTGTCCCGCGAGCCTCAACTCTCATTCTGTTTTACATCAACACCTCACAAACCCCTGCTACGTGTATTGCCCTTTAGAAAGCCAGTATATGCTGTCGATGTTCGAACCCCTGTTGTGTTAACGAACCCTCACAGACTCAGCTATTCACTCTGTTCATATTGATTTAAACACCCCCCCCCCCCGTGCAGGTGAACCTCAAGCATTTTAACCCTGTGAATCCTAAACCCCAAACCCCAAAATACATGAACCCTCAAACCTAAACCCGAAGAAACCCTACTGTAGGGGCCTCAATAAGTAGAATAGGGTTTGGGGATCCATTATACTATAATTATAAGAAGGAAGCCCCAGAAAATAATGTAGGAAATTCTTGCGGCCCCTATAGTAAACCCCACAATTCGTAAACCCCTAAACCCCTCAACCCTAAACCCCACCCCTAAACCCTAAACCCCTAAACCCCTAAACCCTAAACCCCTAAACCCTAAACCCCTAAACCCCTAAACCCCTAAACCCTAAACCCCACAACTCGTGTCTGACGGCCTCCACCTCGGGCACCGAGAGCCGGAGCAAGGCCGGCTCCCAGGGCTCTGCGTGCGTGCGGAGCCGGAGCTGCAAGAGCACCTGCTTAAAGGCTCATGGGACTTAGTAACTAGGGTTCCCTAAAGGACTCCTTTAAAGGGATCTATAGGGGGACCTATAAGGAGGGTTTAAGGTTTACTCAAAGGATCATGGGACTTAGTAACTAGGGTTCCCTAAAGGGCTCCTGAAAAAGGGATCTATAGGGGGACCTATAAGGAGGGTTTAGGGTTTACTTAAAGGATCATGGGACTTAGTAACTAGGGTTATAATTAGGGTAAATTTACTTATAACCACTTATAGCCCCTACTAAGGAGCACCTGGGCCAATGGAAGGAGTCAGGGGCTCAGGGGTTTAGGGGTCTAGGGTTTAGGCTTTAGGGGTTGGGGTTTAGGGTTTAGGGCGTTTTTTTGAGGGTTCAGGGGCTCAGTTGGAGGGGCAGGGGACTTAGTAAGTAGGTTATAAGTAGAGTTAAAAGTACCCTAAATGGAGTGTTCAGGGATTTAGGGGTTCAGGGGTGTAAGGGTTTACTGTAGGGTTCAGGGTTTAGGTGTCTTCTTTTCGAGGCTTGCTACTACCCACAAAAACCCCACCCTGCAGCCTACAAAAACCCCACCCTGCAGAATCCTGCCGCAGCAACTTTCGGGTCTTGGTACAAGAGCTCTAAATCCAAAAGCTCTTCACAACCACGGCAATCCCTATTGTCTCTGTTCCTTTTGTAGGGTTGCCGTATAGGCTCCTAAATTCTAAACTATAACCGTGGCTCATCAAAGCGAGGAACTACAATCGAGACTATAGGACAGCTTTGTCTCAAGGCACACCTGCAGTATCCATTGTAGTTCCTTTTTGGGCTACCTTATGATTATAGGATCCTACAAATAAAAATGTGCACCACAACGGGAACTATAGGCGTTGTCTCAAGGCACTCTACAGTATCCATTGTAATTCCTTTTTTGGAATTATAGGATCCTTTACTGGGGACTTAGTAAGTATGGTTATGAGTCCCTTCATTGGGGTTATAAGTAACTATAAGTATAGTTACCTTCATAACAACCCTAGTTACTAAGTCCATGATCCTTCAAGTAGGCTTTCTCCCAAGGCACTCTCCAGTCCGCCGGCGGTGGCCCAACACAAAGCTCTGCTGGGCCCTGCGTTCGCCCGGCCAAGCTCTGCCTTACGGGCTTCGCGCTTCTTCTGTTTGGGGTTACTATAGGGGGTTTAGGGTTTGGGGTTTAGGGTTTAAGGTTTAGGGCTTTTTGGGGCTTAAGGGGTATACGGCATTTTTCTGTCTAGACAGGGTGATAGTTGGAGATCAGCTTGGGAGTTTTGGGGGTTTCGGGGGCTCAAAGCACTTCCCGTGAGTCCAGGCCAGGAGACTCAGGCTGACGCGCAGGGAACTACTGACTCCTGTCGACCCTCAAAGTCGCTAATGTCGGCGATAGCTGCAAAATCTACAAAAGGTATATTATGCTATGTTTACAATCAGAAACCCCCAAGACAGTGTAGTTGATCTGCAAAGGCCCGCGAACTTCGGCATGACATGCTCTCACCCAAGGCAAGGCACTTCAGCTGCCGTGCGCCTTTGGCGCTTCCCGGCACGCCAGGCCTCAGAGGCGTCCCAGCTGCTTGTTTCAGCGCCAAACCATGAGATTTTGCGTGTGCGATCTGCGAGTCACCAGCAGGTCTCCGATATGCGAGCCTAAGGTTTTAGGGTCCATTATACTATAAGAAAACAAGGAACCCCCAAAATAGTATTGGTAATTATTTCGGCCCCTATAGTACACCTGAAGCCTCTCCCTGTTTTTTCCCTCAGCTGCCGCCCACACAAGTTTCGCACGTGCACTGCAGTGTAGCTACGGTTTAGGAGAAGAGAGGCTCCAGTCTGAGTGCGCCGGCAGGGGCTGGCAGTCTTCCGTCCACCGAAGCCGCAGCTCGGGACCTGTAAGGCTGCGCTCTCTGAGAAAGGGGAAGCAATCTTCTGAAAGGCTGGTTGCAAGCAAGGATATTTAGCAAATTGCAAGCTCTCGAGGCTGCACTTCAAAGCTTGAACTCGGACTTCCTGAAGTGCTTGGGTGCTGGCTGTCGGCCGCGAAGTTGAAGACCGTTTTGGCCTATCGGCACGACTCACAGCCGGCGTCAACAAACTGTGCCTGAACCCGGCATTCTGGATTATCGCGATCTGCTGCAAGCAAGGCTGGATGGCTAAGAATTGGGGCAGAAACACTGCTCTACTCTAATGGTCTGCCCGGCAACATGCCTCCATGTCCTTCCGGCACTGCTGAATCCTGTGTGGGGGCTTTCTTGCAGATTCGTCACATATCCAACTCGAAACTTTCAGCCTGCATCGGCGAGTCTGGAAGCAAGTCCGAAGTAAGCCCTTTGAGAGACAATACAGATAAAGCTGATGAGTCTGTCTGAGAAGTAAGCGGGAAACTGTCCATCTAGCTACCTATGTGCATACACACACATACCAAGAATGGAAAGCTTCGCCGCTCTGAGGCGGCGGCTCGATGTCCTTCGCCTTGAGCAGAGCGCTCTGCTCCTGCAAGCTTTGCTTGGCACGTATACTATCCCCCTATAGTAAAACTCTACTTATCCTACTATTTAAACTTTCTGCAATCCCATGCATCTTCTGGGTTATACTGCTATATCGGATTATGCCGAAGTTGCAACCCTAAAGCCTGGGAGAGTTTTTGCAACAGTGCAGACCTCGAAAGGCTCAAGCCACAAGCACTACATGCCTTACAGCCCCCGGTATAGTTATACCATAATATCACCAGCATCCTATCCTACTGCTGATGGACAAAATCCTGCATGACCCTAAGGACTCTAAACTATGGGAACTATGTTATATTCCCTATTATGGGTAGTGCAGGATTTTGTCCATCAACAGTACTTCTACAGGTCGATACGAAGTTTGTTGTCAGGATAGAGCTGAAGCAGCGAAAGGCTTGAACCCTGCAGGGGTCTCAACTGCGGCCCTGCAGCCGCCAGTTGAGTTGATGCCAACTGCTTCTGCTTAAAGGATCATGGGACTTAGCAACTATAGGGTTATTTGCTAAGGTAACTATACTTATAGTTACTGTTAAGGGTGGTTGTCAAAATTGTGGTCCCTTCCTAGGGACCCTAAATGTTAGATGCCGTACTATATTAGGGACCCAAAAAGGTACCATGATTTTGACAACCACCCATATCTTAGCCAGCCTGCGGCGCAAACCCATGACAGTGCACCCAGGGATCGGGCCTCGAGTTTGGCGGTGGCCTTCGCGACCTGCGGCTGTGAGCTGAAACGAGATCTAGCCCGGCATTGCAGGAAGCCAGTAGTACAGCATAGTACGCTTACTATCGTAAAGCATAGTCAAGTATAGTACAGTTTTATAGCCTTGGACAATGTAGTATAATCTCGTGTCGCATAAGACAGTACAGTAGAGTAAAGCATAGCATAGCATAGTATAGTACAACAGAATAATGTAGTATGGTATAGTACTATATCAAAACCCCGAATACCAGCCTCAACCTCGTGACAACTGGACTCACCCACATCGAAAGCCAACTCATGCTCGCGGATATGAGCTCAGGGTTTGAGGTTCAGGGCCTAGGGTTTGGGGTTTAGGTCACCCACGCTTCCCGACGATGCGGGCATCGTGCCTGCTGCTGTAGATCCTGAACTTGAGCTGCTTGTTCCTGCGACTGACTGGAGCAGAAACCTACTGGAAGGTCCTTGAGGCACAACTAGGTTTGCAACCAAGGTAGCTAAGACTATCGAAAACCCTGAACTAACGTTGCAGGACACAGGGGAACGCTGCACCACACACTAAAGAAGCTCGAATGCTCAAGCTTCACACCACGTACCGCGGCTCCAGAAGGGATATGAGATAGTTTTACGAACTATGCCGACCCCTGTAGTAGTAGAGGGACTCGGCGCCGGAGATCCAGCACGAACCTGGAACACCCTGAGAGGGGGAGAAGTCTGGCTGGATCGAAGGTGATTTCGGCCTGGCGCCGGCGCCACACGAGGGGCCAGCTCAACAGATCACAGGCCGCTCTTCCGAAACAGAGCCGAGGTGGAACGACAAACAGCACAAGACATCGAACAGTTCGTGCTTCGCGACTGCAGCGGAGGCAGTGGCCGGCGCTGCCGAAGCGAGGTTTGTGGCCTCGCAGACTTGGCCCGGCTCTTATGCTAAGAGATTTCAACAGCTTTTCGGAATCAGTGCCTAGCATTCCGTTTTGCTAGTTGCCAGCATGAGCAGCCATCTTGCTCAGCCAATGCACACACAGGTGATGATGCTCTATGCGACTTAGTCGCAAGAATCAGTTTTGGCGGACTTTTTCCATGGTCAAATTCTCCGTTGTCTGGTTCCCCTGCCCGACATCAGTAGCAAGGCTTGCGCTTGGGGCTGTCCCAGAGCTGGTGACAAAAGAAGGCACGGCTGATACATTGCACTGACTTAGGCACATGCTTTCGTACTGCTGGGGGGAGGTCAGTCTTCCCTCCGCATTGGCCGAAACGGATCCACTGCAAGCTGGAGGGCAAGCGCGCGAACTCGCGGCCAGCTTCTTCGGCTTCGCCAGACAGGAAGCAGGCTTGGCCTCCACGTGCCCAGAAGGTCAGCACACGGAGATCACGAAGCTCTCTGGCGACCGCTAGGAAATGCTTCCACTCAGATACTGTCGGCGTAGACGAGAACTGCAAAGCCACTCTCTGCAGCCGCGGCGATCGGGCCAGTATGACGGAAGCATCCGAAAAGTTCTGGATTGAAAGCATCATGTGGGTCCACTCCACACTACCTCCCAGATCTTGTGCGAAAGCTCGGGCATCTGCTTCGGGCCACAGACAGATACCTTCTGCGTTCACGTGCTGCAGAAGCCGGCTATTACTATGGGAGTATGTCATATGATAAAGTGCAAGCGTCCTGAGCCGCAAGTGCCGGATTGCTTCCAGAAAGCCGTCGGTGGTTCTTGCATCCATGTGAGGAACGAAAGTGAGTGTTTCCAAATCCTTGAGCCGACGGAGCACCTGGAAGAAGCCACCTGGTTGCATCGTGTACTCCGGCAGGGCATGGACCTTGTTGTGAGAGCTAGCAGTGATGCTCAAGTCTCGCAAGTGCGGCGTGAGGGTCAGAATTTGGGGTAAATCCGCAAGTGCCGAACCCTCTTGTATCGCAACAGACCAGTCGGTCCAGTTCTCAAGGAGCGCCCGCCCGCCAACTGCTCCAAGTAAACGATCAAACCACAGGATCCTCTTGTCGCGAACCAGCAGACTCACTTCACGCTTGAGGACAGCAGGGTTCCACAACGAAAGCACTCTCACCATGGAAAGGTCCTCCTCGCCCTCCAAAATGCGTCTGGTCGCCTGTAGCCACAATGCTTCGGCCAGCTGCTTTGTATCAACGCCACTGCTCGGATGCTCCTTGAGACATTCGAGGACCACGGTGGCCACGTCAGTGCTACCGGTTTGCACGGCAGCTACGAGCCACTCGGAGACTCCCTTGGAGCTGGCACTTCCTGTTGTGCCATGACAAACCCATTCCAAGAATTGTAATGCGCCGGAACGCATGGCCATGGATGAAATAGCTGAGAGAAAAACGGGAAGAGGAATCGCAGGAACAGCGTAGACATAGCCGTTCTCATCATCCCTTCGTACATACTGAATCTTGGGCTCTTGACCAAACTTGGAGCCTGTGAGCCCCAGCTTTCGCACATAGCTCCAACCGTGTACTGCATGGAACGCTCGGTTTTTGTCGGACATAGCCCCGTTTTGGTAGGCACATGCGAAGCCCTGGACTTGCTGTGCCACATTCAGGTACTGGTCCTTGGCGAGGGCATACTTGAAGAGATGCTTGAACTCACTCTCGAGCTGCTTGAACTTCGACCGGTCGTGGCAGCCGTGCTCCAGAAGCTTGCAAAAGGCATCGGGTGATCGAACGACGGCCTCGTAGACACCTGTGTTGTCCCAGTCGTGAACTACCGAGCAGCCTAACTCTGCAGCCCATGCTGCTGGCGAGTCCACCCCGTCGAAGCTCACCCTCACGTGGAAGCTCTCCATGCCTGGAAACATTGGTTCTTCATGCTTGTGTCTTGGCAAGACGCTGAACTCGATGCCGTTGAGCTCGCTCTCAGGCATGAAACGCGAGAGGGGTAGAGTCAAGAACTGCACAGGCCACTGGGCAGGACCTTTGCAGGCTGCAAGCCGCGCACGCAGCAAGCTGCTCTCCGCGCAGCGTTGGAAGCTTGCAGGGCCAGGGGTGGCTGGACGCTCCTCTTCGAGGAGCCAAGAGACTTCGAAGTCCCGGTCGGCCAAGACGGGCGCCATGGTCAACCTCACAGACTTGCCAGTTCGCAGATCTAGGGGATTGTACTGGCTGACGGTGATGCTGATGTTGCCGCTGCTGTCCACATGGGCACTGACTGGAATGGTCATTGTGCTGTTGTTGAGCATCGTCGCCTCCAGGTGCACCAAGACGTCGAATGGCAGAGGTGACCCCCGGCGTAAGCTCAGCTCCTGAACATCAGAAGCTGTTTGCTGAACACCCTCCGCCACCAGCGCAAGACTGAACTCCAAACTCCCTTCATCGTTTGCTTGCCAATCGGGGTGTACGAGGTCGAAGTTGACCATGTGGCCGCGTATTGGTACTCCAGGGCCACATTGCCGTCGCGCCCCTGCACACCCGTGCAAGTGGCTGAGCATGTCGTTGTGCGCATGTGTTGTGTGAGCCTCGGAGTCGATGCTTGAACACGATTGCTCGTGAAAGGCGTGATGGTGCTTCGCAAAAAAGCATCCTCCGACTCCAAAGAAGGAAGACAGGCAATCAGGATCGATCTCACAAGTGTCTGAGCATGTTTCTGGAAGACTTCTGGCATACTCGGTCCACAGGTGGTCACCCACAGGTGCTCGGGTAGGAACGCCAACTACGAAGTCAGTCAAGAAGATGGTGACTGTCAAGTTGCCTGCTTGCCTTGGAATGCTAAGCTTGCTCCCGGGCAGGGTGCCCCAGCTGAGGCAACGCTGGAATCCACCAGCTTGATCAGAAATCATAACACGCGTCGGGAGCATGCGGAAGGGTGCGAAGCGGACGCTGTAGCGCCTCGCCGGTTGCGAGACACGCCATCCCGTGGCGATGAAGGCTGCAATCCTCGGCACTGGCACTCCCATGAGATCGATGTTCGCCGCCAGCGGTGAAGGATGCTTCGATTGCAAGCCCGGCAGCTCGAAATGAAGCTCCTTGGTGGTGGCCGCGGTGGTGGCGATCATTGCAACTTCGTGGAAGCTGGTATCCAGCACCAGGACATATCGATCCCTCCATGGTGAGAAGTCCAGCGTGTCCTCCAGGGTCGCAGGCTGCAAACTCTCAAGCTCTCCGCGGGAGCACAGGTAGCCTGCTGCTCCGAAAGCTCCGCATGATGAGAGCAAGGCCATAGCGAGCATGAAGCTGGGCAAGAGCATGTAGGCGGCAGGAGACCCCGTGCAAGCCAAGACCACACGGCGGTGCCACAGAAGATCTCTGAAGAAGTTGAAGTTGCAACGGCTCCCCGAAAATGCCCCGTCTTCCGGAAGTCCCGGCTTCAGCTCTTCTGCAAGTGCCACAGGATCCCTGCCTCCCCTGCACGCCTCCACGAAGGCTGGCCAAGGCAGAGCACAAGCCTCCGAAGTCTTCTTCAAGGAAGCATAAGCCGTGCCTTGCATGCGCACCTCGGCGATGAGGCGGTTGCTCTCTTCCTGTACCCGAATGGCGTGAATGAGTGCCCACACAGGCCCTGCAAGGTTGCCTAGGACATAGCCCACGAGCCTGGCAACAGCCATCATGTTCATCTCACCCAAGTTGCCCACCACCACAAGTGAAGAGTAGATGATAACAATGCCGATCATCGAGACCTCTGCGACTTTGGACGTCTCCACCGCGAGAATGATGTCCTTCGCCAGGAGAGAGTTCACCAGCATTGCCCTGCAGACGATGTGGTGGAATCGCAAAACCGCAAGGATGTTGATGACAAGCGCGAGGCAGCTGATCCCCCAAATCAGTGACTCCGAGGCTGCTGTGTGGATGAGGACTGCGAGGGTGGATGCCTGAAGGGTCTGGCCCAAGAGGACGAAGCTCAAAGCTTTGGAGCACTGGCCCACCTCCTCCCAAGGTCTTCTGACAACAACACCCAAGCTGCCCAGGGCACCTTCGCAAGGCGGAACGGCGGCTGTGTCTGCGCCTGCTCGCCACAAGGCTTCGCAGGCAACGGCAAAGAGGAGGATGGCCCAAGTGAACAGCAAAGCGACCAAGTAGTCCGGCACCCATGCTGACGGGCACTGGAGCTCCATGGAAAGCTGCCACTCGTTAAGGAAGCCTTCGACCGATTTCGGAAGCATCTCGGAGAGGCGGGCGGCCAGGCGAGAGCCAGCCTCGAAGCTCGGAACGTCGAGCTTGCATAAGCAGGCGGGCGGGTCAGACACCATGCAGAGCCAGAAGGCTCGCTCGCGCTCGGCGCGCATGCGATGTGCCAACCTGGGGTCGACGAAGACTTCGATGGTGGAGCCGTTGACGGGATCAACCGGGTCAACCCAGGGCACAACAGCGGCCTTCGTCTCAGAACCTCCCGCCTCCTGAGAGCAGTCAGCGCTGGCCTTGACAGCATAGACTTGTCCTGATTGCAACTGCCAGGACACATCCCTCATGTCGGCGCCTGTCAGCTGATACAAGCTCCGGCCATCCCTGTCGTCCGCCTGAACTTGACTGCATCGGGCCGCACAGGTGTCGTTCACCAGGTCCTCTTCAGTCTCATCATAATTCATGGAGCTCTTCTCACGGATTGCCATGACCAATCCGCTGAACAGGACGATTCCTGCCAAGAGCCACGCATTAACCTTGAACGTTGCAAACGACGTAGACGCACCCATGGCGTGAAGATCGGCAGTGCCACAAAGGCTGGCCGACGCGCTAGGCTTGGGCAATTGCGGGATAAGATATACAAGCAATGCAATTTGGCAAACCGCATACGACAAGTCAGGATGAAAGCAACGGAGACGGCATCTGCGGTCGGACAACCTCTGCAGTGCTACCCCACACTCAAACTCATGGAACGGCAGAGGATGGCAAGAAAGAGGCAGAAGAGGGAGGGGGAGTGGGAGAGAGAGAGAGAGAGAGGCGGAGAGGAATCCGACTTCTTGGCCAAGCTCACGATTCTGCAGACAACGCGGTGGCTAGTTGTGGTGGGTCAAGACAGCTCCATGGGCGCCATCACACAGCGACAATCAGCGACACACGTAGCTCCGGTGCAAGGACGGCGCATCATGACCCGGATCCGACTGCCTCCAGCTCGCTTCTTCGCAGGCATCAGCGCTCGCTACGGCAGCTCGCCTGCAATCAAAAAGTGAATCCCCTGGAAGCCCGAACACGTGGGAGGGACCGTCTCAAGTTCGTTTTCGGGCTTAGGTCATAGCGGTATATTTCGCAATTTCGTCCGTGATTCAGCAAGGTTGCCCATGATCAATTCACCCCCAGACCTCAGACCTCAGCACTAACATCTGGTCAGCATCGGAATCGGAATATGGCCGATAAAACTGCGAGAACGGGTGAAAGACACGAGCTTCCCCAGGTTTTTGTGGTTCTAGGGTCCATGTATGATTAACTATGGGACAGGGTATCTCAAGTGGACCTCAAACTGATGTCAGATGACATGAGTGCTTGTTTTCGAAGGATCGGAAGACGCAACTTTTGAAAGGCTCACTCCATCGGTTCGGGATATGCTGTCTAGGATCTTGCGTTTCGAGGCCTCGGACCCATATCGTTTCGAGCCACATCCGATGTCCCCTTACCTCGTGACAAGGAATAGACTGCGCTGCGAACCTTTGTCTGAGAACTTCACCAAAGTCAACTCGGGCTTCTGGTCCTGCCGCCTCCGCAGATTTCGTTTGTGTTGGGTGGCGGATGCGTGTTGAGAGTGGATGTTCAGGCTTTGGGACAAGAGGGTGCTGGTTGGTCGGGACAGAGATGGTAAGCCCGAATGATCCGAAACCCATCTGCAACCCAGCTACAAGCAGTCCAAACCCAAGCCGAAACCACTCTTCCATCCGTCAGCCCTGAGTCCTCACCTCAACGGCATAGCCTGCTCGCAAAACCCAACATACATCCCACCCCACATTACCAGGCAAGAGCCATGGAACTGTTCTGGAAGTGCAGAAATCCGAAACCCTGAATGCCCTCTGCGACCCGAACAACTCTGAAGCTGATCTCTTGATGTGTTCGAAAGCCAGCTGGACGCGCCTTCGCCGTGCCAGTGGCATCCGTGGCATCATACCCGTTCACGCCCGACAGAATAGGCGCCCAACGACATTGCAGCGGGAAGCGACAACTCAATTTGCGGCGGTGCAGCAGTGCAGCCTGTGGCCTGGGAGCACAACCTCGAAATCTCGGGGCGCCCCGACTAATGCTGGCGTGGCGTTACTTGGGAGCCGCCCCAAGGAGGAGAACAGTCGGCGGCCGCGACATCTGGAGTGGCTAACTGAGCCATTCCAGATGCTACTGCTACACTGTCATACAGATGTCTGTTTCCACCTGCTACTCGAAATGCTACGTTAACATCTCTGTAGGCGTCCAGCCGCTTCGAACGTCACACTTAAATCCTGAGTATTAAGGCCACGATATCAGCCCCTCCCGCCGCCGAGCTCTCCTCGCAGCGCTGCTGCCACCGCTGCACCTCAGCAGCTGTGGTCGATTCTGGAGTCCACCACTTTTGGTGGGTTTGGGTTTGGGGAGGCTCTTGGCTTCTTGAAGTGACCTAGTGTGTGAATGTGTGTTTCGGATTCATGGTTATCTTGGCGTTTTGGGCTGGTTTCGGCTTTTTGGATTTGGGATTTGCGGGTTTAGGTTTAGGCACATACTGCTGATGGACAAAATCCTGCCTTACCCATTATAAGGAATATACCATAGTTCCCATAGTTTAGAGTCCTAAGGGTCATGCAGGATTTTGTCCATCAACAGTAGCCCCCGGGTGCTTGGTTGTCGGCTTCTTGTGCGCGTGACTTGGACCCTTCAGGGTCTCAGTCCTTTAGTCCAAGGGGAAAAGGAGGGACCCTCAATGGGGACCCCTACCCTATAATGGGCTATATAATGGGTATAGGTATATACCTAGGGGTCCTTATTAAGGGCCCTCCCTTTACCCTTGGATTTAGGTGTGCAGCAATCAACAGAGTGTCATCGTACCGCCCCCGACTTGCCCACCCTGAATATGTTCAAAGCTCGGCTACGCGACCGCCTGACCTCAAAGACAGGCTGAACCTTTTAGTTGCCTTGTTAGCTACTTGGAGGGGCAGGGGACTTAGTAATTAGGTTATAAGTAGAGTTATATAAGTACTCTAAATGGACTTACCCCAATTATAACCCCACTTATAACCTACTTACTAAGTCCCCTGCCCCTCCAAGTAGTAGTTTGAATCGGGCTTCTACAGGGGTCCTTGAGAGGTTTCCATAAGAAATCTGCCTGCTCTGCGCACTGCTGTGCGAGGGCATCCTGGAACCTGGCCGGCCAGCGACTTTAGGGGTTTATAGGGTTTAGGGTTTAGGGGTTAGGGTTTAGGGGTTTCGGGGTTTAGGGTTTAGGGTTTCGGGTTTAGGGTTTTAGGGGTTTAGGATTTAGGGTTTAGGGTCTGCTGTAGTTGAGGTCTATGCCCCTGAGCACAGAAACAGCACACACAGTTCTGGAAAGCAAACGGGAGTATCAGTTGAGGTATGATACCTGGGGTACTGGCCCCACCCCATAACAATCTGTATGAGGTGTTAAAGACTATATACAGCATGTACAGTATGTATAGTATGAATACACTCCAACTGTTACAAAGTGGGGGGCAGTACGGTTGATGATATAAATCCTGCATTACCTTAAGGACCCGAAACTATGGGAATCATGGTATATTCCTTATTATGGGCAATGCAAAATTTACATCATCAACCGTAGCCGTCTTGTGATTTGAGATGGGAACCTGTGAGCTGCCCTTGCTTTGCAATCCATGTTGGGGGTTCAGGCTTTCGGGGTTTCGGGGGGGGGGGGGGGGGGGTTTAGGGGTTTAGGGTTTAGGGGCTTCGGGGTTTCGAGGTTTTGGGGTTTCGGGGTTTCGGGTTTTGGTGGTTTGGGGTTTACAAACACTTTCTGGTGATTACCCTTTCCGGAATACATACACTGGGCCATGCATGCATCTGGAGCAAGCCACTGATACCATTGTACATGAATATTAGAAGGAGGAAACTGTAAGAAGCAATATACCTTATACGAAACCCTTGTAGGAGCCGGTATGGTATAGTATATGCGCTTATCAAAGGGAACCCAGGGAACACTGGACAACTATAGCAACCCCAATGGTATCTGATATTAAGCCTATAAACGTAGACTCAGGAACACTTAGGACCAATATTGCTAGTCCGACCATGTCCGACCCCTCATAGTGTCTCTTTTTGAGGGGTGGTGCTTTTGACTTTGTTGCGCCGCGCCTGGAGCCGACGGCGGCCTGGCAGAGAGCAACAGTCAGCGAACGGCATGTTTCGGGTGTCTATATGTGTATTTCTAGGGTCTTTAGATAAGCTCTTGTATGGCTTTCACTCAGGGCTCTACGAAGGTTTACAGAAGAGAGCTACAAATTTCAAGAAGGATTCAGAAGTATCACTGGTCAGTTTCACCTTGGACAGTACGGGGTTGCTGGCCGCAGTAACCCCAGAAACTGAGCTTTCCTTTTGGGTTGAGTATCCGATCCACTGCAACCTTAAGCCCGAATCCCTGAACCTTGGTTTCGGGCAAGCTTCAGCTGTGAGAAAACCTGCACGCGGAAGTTTTGTTGATGATTTTGTACCGTGTGATGAGCCTGGAATCCCAAGTCTGTCTTTACAGACACACACACAATGAAACGAAGAAACACATCCACACCCACTAAGACACCCTCACGCACTGCCAGGACGAAGCCAACCAAGACACCCACAAGCTCCACAGACAACTCTCGCGTTGAGGTTTACGGCTTCAGGCTTCTAGGGCTGCGGGTGTTGGGCCTGCGGAACCTGGTCTGGCGGATCGCTCGCACCTGGGCGCAGGGTTTTGGGTTTAGGCTTTGAGGTAACAGGGAGCTTAGTGCATTCTATGTAAGGTCAAGCAAAAAGCGTTGTATGTTGTAAGGTCAAGCAGAAAGGCATGGTAAACCCATGCAGTGCTCTTCTTCCCCAGTTTTTGTTCGCCAACTGCGCATCCTTACTTATGTCCCATCATCCTGCAGGTTGTGCCAGTGCAGCGACTACAGTTCAAAGGTAGCCGAAGCCACTAGAAGAGAACAGCATGGCAATTAAACTTGAGGACCTGGACAAAGGAAGAGAGAGGGAGAGTGGAAGGGGAACAGCTCGGAAAGGAGGACTACCGAAATCATGCTCCAACACCGTCAGACCCAAGCCTTTGCTGAGATACATGGAAACTCTGCAGCGACCCACAGCGGTGTCGAACATGTCATACTAAGGCTTGCCTGTCAAGCCTTCCCTGAGGACACGGTGGCAGACTTTGCTTTCAGCCCAAGCCCCAAAAGCTCAAGCCTTGTTTCGAATGCACTGCCGTGGCTCAGCTTAGACACACTTCCAGCTGCATCGACCGGCCGAACGTGCTTACGAAACCGATGCATCGACTCTCATGCTTCCGAAACGGTATACATATACACACACGTACATACGTACATACATACATACGTGCAGTCATTCATTCATACATACATACATATACACTAGTGTGTAGCTACAAGTGCAAATGTATAGGTATATGCATGTGTAGATGTCGATGTAACCTATATTTAGAGAGAGAGAGAGAGAGAGAGAGAGAGAGAGAGAGAGAGAGAGAGAGAGAGAGAGAGAGAGAGAGAGAGAGAAGGGTTTACGGATGTGTAGGACGCCTTTTGTCTGCGCTTCGCAGGGCACGGCTGACCTGATGGCTCAGGAATCCTCGGTTCGGCACCCAGAGACCGACACCACAGGGTCAGGGTTGAGGGTTCGGGCTTGTTTTCCCCAAGCCCCCTTTTCCCAGAGGAGTCTGCGACTTCTAGATTCTAGAGGGTTGAGGGTTTATGGTTTCGGCACCCTCGAACTTGCAAGTCAGTCTGATAGCAGACATCGTGTGATTATCTTTCACTTTCTGCGAACCTGTTTCGTCAAGGGCTTCCACCTCTCAGTCTGCTTCTCCTAATTCCGAAAAGCCCAGTCCCCCATCCCAACACCGCCAAACTCCCATCCTTGGACTTATTCCCCCAATGGCTTCGGCTTTAGGGTCTAGGGCTTTAACCCCTAACCTACTCCCTACGCTGCCGGCGGGAATCCCAGAAGGTCGGCGTCGGTGCGCAGATTCTTGAGATCCCAGGGCGAGACCAGGACCTGCAGGGAAAGGGCCACGAGGCAACGTCCGGTTTCGGCTTTGCCTGAACCCTACGAACCCTCCCCTGAGATTCTTGGGGTGAAGGTAGGGTTTAGGTGCCGCCACTACGACCACGACTACGACGACGACGTCTACTACTACTACTACTACTGCTACTACTGCTACTACTGCTACTACTGCTACTACTACTACGATGCAGTCAGGGCACAGTCCGGTAGCCCAACTTGCGGAGGAGGCGGTGGCGGACACGGCGTGAGATGGGCCAAGACACGAGGTCAAGGTCGATCACCAGAGAAGACCTCACACTATGGTATATAGTATAGTGCGTGTATATATATATATATGTACAGTATAGCACACTATAGTAGTGTATAGTATCTATGGTATAGTAAACTATAGTATGGTATAATATCATATAGTATAGTAAGCAGAGAAGACCTCACATCATACTATGCGATCGTCTGTTCTCGCTGTTTTGGTATCTTACAGCATGTTCTAGCATCTTGTAGTATACTGTAGTGATGGTATATTCTAGTGTATTATAGCAGCATATTGACGGACATTCTACTGTGTTTGTCCATGCTTTAAAACTTCAAAACTGATACGCTAAACCCATGACCACACCAATCCTTGCGCCCTGAACCTGCCAGGTGTTCCGGCGCATAAGAAGTCCCGCAAAAGCCTTCTAATCCTTCTAGCAACCCTTTCTGGAACCCCTCCCTAGACCATTTGTAGAACCCTTTGAGGAACCCTGTTGTAATTTCAGGTGTTTTATACGCAGCCTTAAAGGACCCCTGGGACCAGGGCTGCTCGAGGAAGAAGTCGACCAGAAAGGGGCCCACGGCTGCTTGCAACGTCCTGGGATACTCTTACCCTGGGGCTCTAAGGACTCATATAGGGTTCCTTTAAAGAGATCTATAAGGGGTCCCTTAAAGGGGTCTGTAGCCTATAGGGTTTAAGGCTCTAAGGACTCATACATTAAGGCCTTTGGGTCCAAAGACCATCAAAAATATATAAGGCTTTTGGGCTACTGTGATCCCCAGGGTTATGGCAGAGTGTGGTGTATTGTGTGATTGCTGCCAGTATGATTACACCCGTTTAAACAAACCCTCTTTAGAAGGAACCTTTTCAGGAACCGTTTAAGAAACCCTTGCGCATAACCCTTTAGGGAACCCTTTCGGGGCAACCCCTTTCGGGGGAACTCCTTTTGAGGGAACCCTTTTAAGGAACCCTTACAAGTACCCTTTTTAAAAGGTACCCTTAAAGGAACCCTTTTGCGGGGAACCCCTCTAAGCTGCGAAAAAATCCCGGGCTCAGGCTCGGAGACTCCAAGCCCGGAGGCCCGGAACGTCCCGGAGGCGACAGGACCCGAGTCACCTGCGCGCAGGTAGAGTTTGTGAGGGTTTTACGAGAGGTCAAAACGTTTCTGATGGATTCTGTGAGGATTCTGTAGGGCTGGCTAGAAGTTTGACCCAGCTTTTCTACGCGGGTCTCTTTGTTGTTGGATAGGACTTTTCAAGTCTCTATGGTGTTTGCTAGCGGTCTGTACCCAGAGCCTCCAAACTGTAAATCATAATAGGGTCCCTAACAAGACTTAAGCTCTGTTCAGGTTTCGGAGGCTCTGAGTAGGGGCTTCCTTAAGGGATCATGGGACTTAGTAACTCGGGTTAGTACTAAGGTAGCTATACTTATAGCTACTTATAACCCCAATTAAGGTACTTATAACCATACTGAATAAGTCCCATGATCCTCCAAGTAGGGGCTTATGGACCTTGTGGATTCGGGCAGCTTCGGGTCTCTAGAGCTCTCGGGCTCCAGGGTGCCAGATTTTGGGGCTCCGGCTGGGAGAAGAGTTGGGAGCTTCTTAACACTTACTTAGAGGATCATGAGTCTTAGTAAGTATGGTTATAAGTACCTTAATTGGGGTTATAAGTAGTTATAGCTATACATAGTTACCCGAATAATAACCCGAGTTACTAAGTCCCATGAGCCTTTGAGTAGGACTTCTATTATGACTCACGCTTCTTGGCTTTGGGCTTTGGGGTTGTGGGTGGAACCCCGACTAAGAGTTTAATCTAGACGTGCTGCTAGCCTGCTCTGGGATAGAATCACTTGGCATCGGCAGTTGCCTTCCAACAGCACGTCTGACCTTGAAGAGCAGAAGAGAATGAACAGCCTGGAAACTGTAGTACCCTCATAGAGCCCTTTTCATACCTTTACGTCACCCTATCGCTGGGAAGGCCATCCCGCCTGTTGATGCTGCAAAGAATTCGACAGCCTCTTGGCCTGTCAAGCTCGGGGGCTGTGCAAAGCTCGAAGCGCAGAGACTCCAACACCCCACAGCTAAGGAATAAGCCTTAAATCTGATTAGGGTTCCTATTGAAATGGTCGGTACATTCCTTAACACTTTCGGGCATTTGGAGTCTCTGCAAGCGGTGAGGCAACCCAAACACTCCAAAACCCCTTAGTTAGGGAATAAACTTACATCTGATCAGGGCTCCTATGAAAACATATTCTCTCTTTTCCTTGATTTCGGCTGTTCGGAGTTTCTGGGAAGCCGGAACCCAAATCCACGAAACCAAGAATCCCCCAATCCGACAGAACCTAGACCCCTGAACCTTCATAGAGCCTGAAGACCTGCCCCATTCCCTGAACCCCCAAGGCCCTTCATACTGCTGATGCCAAGTGGGTTCCTTTAATAAAGGGATCTATAGGGGTACCTTTAAGGGCCTCCTTTAAGGGATCCATACGGTTTAGGGTTGATGATATAAATCCTGCATGACGCTTCGGACTCCAAACTATGGGGACTATGGTATATTCCTTATCATGGGTAATGCAGGATTTTGTCCATCAACAGTACCAGCAAGTCGGTTTAGGGTTTAGGCTTTTGAGCATAGTTACCTTGAGTATAACCCTAGATCCTATAGTTACCGCACCCATGATCCTTTTAAGTAGAACCCTGAACCCCTATAAGCCGAAACCACTTCTAGATTCCTTTAAGGGGCCCTAATTATTGAGGCCCCTAGATTATAACCCCCTTCAAGTATCCCTTAAAGTAACCCTTACAGACCCGCTTTAAAGGAACCCTATTCGAATTTATGAAGGCCAAGGACCTTAGGGCCTGCCTCTGTCCGGGCCGCTTCAGCCGCGGCCTCGCATAGCTGGGCGTTGGCCGTACTTTCGGACGCAAGGACCTCGGCAGGGTTTTTAGGGGTTTAGGGCTTTAGGGGTTTACGGGTTTAGGGTTTAGGGGTTTGGGGTTTAGGGGTTTAGGGGTTTTAGTTTCTCTGCGAAGTTCCAAAGTTCGGCTTTGGACAAAGGTCTAAGGTTTGGGCTTGTGCGGTTTGGTGGATTAAGTGCCCTAAACCCTAAGCCCCAAACCTTGACGAAGGCAGGTCTTCATATTATATTTATGTTCTATAGTTATATTAGATTCTGATTCTTCTTAAAAAATAATATATATGTATAGACCTTTTGTTTTGCCAGCGGCGTCATGGAGCTTGATGAGGGCCACGGTCGACTGCGGGGGAGTTTCGGAGCAGCGCTGCAGGATTCTCTCGAGCACCTCATTCCAAAAACGAGCTTCATTTGAGCTTCATGCTCAGGAGTATATTAAGGCATCTACAATGGGGCCCCCTTTAAGGTTTCTATAAGGGATCTACATTAATATTAGGGTAACCATACTTACAACACCTCATGGGGTTTAGGGACGGATTTTCCACTTCACTCCCTGTCCTTCCGAAGATACCACCACTCCATCACATTGCCATGTCCCTTGAAGCTTGGGACCACACACCTTGAAGCTTGAACCTACGGTCTACCATAGGGGCCTTCATAATTGCCTATACTATCCTGGGGGCTCCAGATTATGATTGTAGTAAGATGGGCACCAAAAGCCTGTTCGAATAATTTCGGCCCCTATACTATGATCATACCGCTGTATCTTTTCCTGCCGTCCTTGGCACGTTTCTGTACTTCTCCGACAGCTCCAGTGCGCACCTCAGGCTGCAACAGGGACCAACACTGTGGCTCTGCCTTTGATGGAATACGGGCCTGAATCATTAGATGAGGGGTTTTTTGAGTTTTCATAAGGGCTTGAATAATAATTATAATAGGAAGAAGAAGCAGAACAATAACAATCAAAACTGCAATTCGAGGGCTGTAAGGTTATTGAAAAAATTGAAAATAGATGCGTCCCTGGTGCAGGGCCCATGCCATGTCAATGTCCTCCTTCGGGTCCAGAACTTCGGGGTCGGCTGCATACTGTGCCTCTGCTGCTTAAAAATATCATGGGACTTAGTAACTAGTGTTATTATTGGGGTAACTATACTTATAAGTACTTGTAACCCCGATGAAGGTACACATAACCATACTTACTAAGTCCCGTGATCCTCCCACTGGGGTTTCATATCAGGGGGCCGGCAAAAGGTCGGAGCCCAGGGAGCCTAATTATTCCTTACATGAGGAATATGCCTAGGGTTCCCTGTAACGGCATCTGCAGGGTTTAGGGTTGAGGGGATTCAACTACCCCTTAATTCGGAAATATGGCTTAACTTATATAGGGCTTCATATTATGATGTTAGCCATGTTCCTGAATTAAGGGGTCATTATTGGGTTCTCTGGGAGTAACGTAGGGGTGAGGCCTTTACACTTAGCACGAACCCTTGGGTTGGTTTCCTTTAAGTACTTTATAAGGAATCCTCTGAACAATCTCCGAAATTGCCCAGGCTCCTATCATACCTTCATCCCACCCCCCTGATGCCCTTGATCAACAGCGCGTTGGGACTCGGAAGGTCCTTTCGGGAGCTCTGCTGCGAGGGGCTTGAGGGGCCGAGCCCGGATCCGGAAGTTCCCTCAAGTCAGGCTTTTTTCCGCTGCGCTGCAGAAGCAGCCAACTTTTAGGGGACTACTAACATTAGGGGGTTCCTTATTATACTTATAGTATTCATTGCCAATACTATTTGGGGGGTTCCTTTTTATACCTATGTAGTATTAATTACCAATACCGTTTGGGGCTTCCTTATCATACTTATAGTATAGTGGGCCCAGACCACAACTAGTTAATCTAGCATCGACCAACGGCCTCGCATCGTTTCAAGGCCGTTGCCTCACCCTCTGAGCTCAACGCACAGCGACTCAACGCACAGCGGAAGGGCATGCGAACTCACAAAAGAAGAACCGGATTTGGGGCTCTACCGAAGTCTTCAGTTCCTCAGGCGTGATCATAAGAGTCTAGGGGTCTGTCTAAAGAACCGTTCAATCCCAGGACATGTCGAAGTCACTGCGAGGACCCCGAAGATTTCCGGAGGTGACGTCGCCCCGCTCAGGGCCAAGGCGAAGAGGAGCCTGCAAGCAGCGAGAAGGGTTTGTGTGGTAACTCAGGGCGTATAGGGTTTAGGAGTTACGCAAGGGCCAAACAACAAGGTTTGAGGTTTAGGCTTCTCAAGCCTAACGGCTCCAGAAATGTCCATCTGCTGGTGGTCAACCCAACAATCGCGACTCCAAGCGAGCAACTAGAAGTGTAAAAGCTTCGGGTTTACGGTTCAGGGGTTCTTCGGGAGGTGCGGCAATCACTTGGGGGACGCACGGCTCGGAGCTTCAGGAGAAAAGACTCGCGCCCTCCGAACCTCAACCCCAAACCCCAAAAGAAGCCGTGACAGCAACCTTTCAAGGGGACGCTGAAAGGATCCCATAAAGGAACCCTGAAGAAGGCCCCGAACTCGCCTCGCCGTGTCGCTTTTCCGGAGCCTCCCGAGCTGCGGCGCCAGGGCCCCGAGGAGCTCCTGAAAGGAAAAAACCGGCGCTCAACAATGGGGTTTATAATGTAGGGGCCTTAATAATTAGAATAGGGTTTTGGGGCCCATTGTACTATAATCATAATAAGGAACCCCCACCATAATATTGGTAATTATTTAGGCCCCTATATTAGGGGCTTTTTGGCCTTGGGGACCTTCATAGTTTAGGGTTTATTGACTTACGGTTTAGTGTTTGGGTTTGGGCCTTTTTTTGGGCGCCCTAGAGCACTGTACTGCTTGCGGTGGATTGTAGGGTTTCGGGTTTGGGGTTTTGGGGTTTTGAGGTTTTGGCTTTGAGAGTCAGGGAAAGTGGAAATTACACCAGGCTTTGGGTTTGGGCTTTTGGCCTGAAAAAGCGCCCAGAGGGGGGATAGAACGGAGCCCCCAAAAAGGGGATCTGGACCAAGGGTACTTCAGGTTTATGGGGGGCCTTCCGGGTTTGAGGATCAGAGTTGCAGGATGTTGCAGGCTTAACTAATTTAAGAGACCCAGCCTTGCTGCACCCTCGTACGGTCTCTGAGCGTGTGCTGCTGCTGCTGCTGCTGTCAATGACGAAGATCGCCAATGGGGCCGAATATTTCCAATTGCGAGGCAGTGCCGTGAGCAGCGATTTCTGCATCTGAAGTACCCTATATAAACCCTAAAGCCTCAACCACCCTAAACCCCTAAACCCTGGTGGCCGGTGATGGATAGAAAGAAGCTCGTGCACTGCAGGTCACGTCCATGCAGGATTCGAAAGAGATGTGAACCTTCACACGGTTGCAGTTGAAAGCAAGTTCAAATCTTTCACGCTTATCATTGTGCAGATATTATGAGACTTGGGGGGCCCAACTCGAACCTGCAGATCCCCAAAACCCCTTCACCAAGGTATGTACCTTAACTTAACTCATGGATGCCTCAATACTACCAACCCTAAACCTTGAACCCTAAATCGGGAGACTACCAACCCTAAACCCTAAATCGGGGAGACTACCAAGCCTAAACCCTAAACCGGGAGAACCCTCTGTGGAAACTGAGCTGCCAAGATGCATCCACGTCGCGCTGCTCTAAGAAGCGCAGTCGTGCGAGCCTCGGCGTCGACGGCTGCATCTACTTGGAACTTCATGGGTAGCTATAAGTGGGGTTACAAGTTTTGAAAAAGGCAAAAACACACAAGTAATCCTGCTTATAAACCCTGCTTATACCTACCCATGAACCTCAAGTAGGAAAATCTAGGGTTTCGGGAGTGCGGGTTTGTGCTCAGGGTGTCAGGATTCAAGGGCGTCGGGCCTCAAGTTCCCTACCAGCCCAAACCACAAACCCTAAAGGCCCTGAAACCCTATAGATCCCTTTAAAGGATCCCTTTATAGATCCCTTTGAAGGAACGCTTTATAGATCCCTTCAAAGGATCCCCTAACCACCTTAGACGGAATCCTCAACCGCGGCTTGGAGTCTCAAACCAAGCTTTCGGATTCAGAATTTGCAGCTCAGGGCTCAGGGTCTCCTAAACCTGGAACAGCGCACAAGCTCAGGCATTTCAAGCCCCCGAAGGGCCCTTAAAAGCCTAAACCTTGCACAACCCGAACACCCCTCGAACAGAAGCCCCTAACTCCTCAAAGCGCAACTGTTGATGATATAAATCCTGCAGTACCCATTTTCAGGAATATACCATAGTTCCCATAGCTTAGGTTTCTTAAGGTCATGCGGGATTTATATTTATATCATCAACCGAAGCACCAAGAACACAACGTCTTCGGTCAACTTTCCGCATCTGAAGTTTCTCTTGCACTCCCGAGGCCTCTGGAACAGAGACTTTTTGCCATGTTAAGTTTAGGCGACACACCCCGCGGCCCCTATAGCCTTTGGTGATCGAAGTTGAGATTGCTTGGTGAAACTTCCTCCTGCCGGTCGCACACTGGCTGCACTCGCAGAGTCTGGAGCCTTAATGATTAGAATAGGGTGTTGGGGCCCATTTTACTATGATCATAACAAGGAGCCCCAAAAATCGTATAGGTAATTATTAAGGCCCCTATGTCAGTGCGGATCGATAGGAACAGAAACTGAGGGGAAATCATCCTGTCGGCCATGCTCCACAGAGGCTTGGACCGGGACGTGTCGCTCAACTCCCTCTCCAGGGAGCCACGTGGAGACGTCCACCTCCCAGTACTCGTAGCCCTTCTTTTCCAGCCATGCGACCTCCGCTTTCTGGGAGTTGCCGAGGCCCTCTGAGGCTGCAAGAAATTCACGCTCTGCCTCCGAGAGGCAAGCCAGGAACGCACGCCGGGCTTCTCGGCTGTACTGGGAGGATCCATCGCCGCGTGGCTCCTGCGAGAGGTTGCCGAGGCCTGCGTCCAGCATCTGCTTGAAATGATGGGATGCCTCGAACTCTTCTTGTTTCTTATTCACCTTCTCCCTCTGGAGGTTCTCTTTGCCCGCAGATTCGAAGCTCTCGACCTTGCCCTTGCCGACGTGATTCTGGAAGTAGTACACCTCCAGCTCTGCTCCGGATTGCACCGCCTTTTCGATGTTCTCTCTCCACTTGGTAAACCACCGACAGCCCCAAGGCTTTTGCTCCCCGTAGAGTGGTACGCACCAGCAGGTCCCCGGCAAGTCTTCCCTCTTCGGGATGCTGTCGTGCCTGCCGTAGTCGCGCGTGCCCTGAGGAAGGAAAACCACGGCTGCACTCACCTGGCCTTTCCGGCCCTGAGACACCAGCGATTCCCAGGCTCCCTCATACTTCCCAGGCCAGCTCGCCACGCAGGGCCGCCCGCGTTCGCGGATGACGCTCCCTTCGAAGCGGATGCTCCGGTTTCTGAGCTCTCCATGGGCTTCTCTGTGCTCTCGTTCCTGCTGTTTCTTCTGATCATGGTCCAGGTCTCTCCGACTGAACATTAGAAGCACGCCACCAAGACACACGCCGGCACCTAGGGGTACAGGCCAGACGATGGCTGCCGTCCACCAGAATCCCGACAGGGCGTGTTGAACTGTTAGCACTGCCAGAGTTATCAGCGCCAGAATCGCCGCCAGCTTCAAGCCAAGGCGGACGCAAGCCACGTACTTTCCAAACTTAAAGTCATTGAACTCGTCCTTGCCCGCTTCGCCAGCACCAAAAGAAACAGTTAAGATACAGAGGCAACAACACAGGGGCACCGTGGCGCTGGCCAGCAGCACGGCCGCAAGGGCACTCTCGGGCGGGATGGCTGCACAGAGAACGAGGAGAGCCAAGGAAGGCCCAACTAAAATCACAATTCCTCGGGCTGTCGGCCATGCGTCGGCGTTCCGTTTCGTGCTGGTGGCTTGCCGGATCATCGTCTCCGTTCGTTCCTGAGCCTCCTCGCGACGCTTTCCTTCACCTGGGTTCTTGTTAAGGAATTTAATTTCAGTTGCCATAATATAGGGGTCTACAGCAAACAGTATGGTTTCCTTGTCATGGAAACTTAAACCAAATAGCTAAATGGGAGTTTCCGAAAATCAGGGACCCTAATATAGCACCCTAAATAGTAAGATCCTTTTTACAAGGACACCAAAAATAAGGTATCCCTATAATTTTCGGAAACTCCCTTAAAATTCTTAGCCAGAGCCCAGTCACGAGCCAACTCCCGGGCTTCGGAGCGGTCTCGGCCCTTGGCCCGGTGGCTGAAAGACTCGAAATCCAGCGAGGCTCGCAGCGAGGCCGAGGCTCTGCCGGCCTCCACCTGACTGTCTGTCCGGTTCTTAGTAGGGAATCGGGTTCCTTTAAGGGTTACTATAAAGGGTCGATAAGGGTTACTACAAGGGTACTATAAGGGGAACTATAAGGGTTATACTATAAGGGTTTAGGGTTCTTACTAGGCTGTCGTGCTGCTCAGTAGGGAATGGAATTCCTGTGAGGGCTCCTTTAAAGGGTCCTATAGGGGTTCTACAAGGGGTCTTAGGGTATCGCCCCTGTCTGGTTCTTAGTCGGGAATGGGGGAATGGGTTATGGGAACTACTATTGGGGATTACATAGGGGCTACTAAAACCCTAAACCCTAAACCCTAAATACGGACAAAATATAGGGATCCATTTTTTCCATTCCCTACTGCTGATGGACAAAATCCTGCATTACCCATTATAAGGAATATACCATAGTTCCCATAGTTTAGAGTCCTTAGGGTCATGCAGGATTTTGTCCATCAATTCCCTACTAAGAACCAGCCTGGCCTGGCAGCTGCCCCAGACCTCCGGGCTTTCGATCAATCGAACAGAGACCGAGGTGACCACCACGTCTGACGACACTCCGACGTCGCAGGACCGCCCGGGATAAACGATCTTCCACTCCTCCTCCTCCTGAAGCTTCACTTCGATGGGGGTTTGCAGGTCGTTCGCCACCGTCAGAGCCATGGCATGGCTTCGGCGAAGATAGGGGCCTTCATAAGAATAGGGTTCTGGGGTATGTTCTGGTACAACTAGTACAAGGAAAGACTTGAAAGAACCCTACGAAACTCTATAACTCTTGTTAAGAATCAACAGCATGCATTTTTCAAGGCAAGGCGCCAACACTAAACCCTTGCAGTACTATGGGCCGTTCCACAAGGAACCCTTATCGACCCCATATGTCCCGTTATTCAAGAATTGTGCTTCTAATTCTTACGGGTACCCTCTGGTCTAGTTTGACTGTAAGGAGGAACCCTCAGGAAATACTGGTACTAAATTACTAAGGCCCCTTTGCTTTCGAACCTCGCGTTTTGCAAGGAAAGCTCGGGCCTAACATTGCAACGGCCGCGAAAGAGTCCTTTGGCTCCCAAAGACCCCTGATTCAACGCCTTGGATATAGGAGGATTATGCTTCGTAGGAGTTCATGCAGGTTTTCTGATAGGGCGTCATATCATCATGGATAAATACATCTTCAAGTATCATGTGTGGCGAACTTTACCCTGCACAGTCCCAAGTACAATGACGAAGTCATCCAACCCGCATCACAAAGCAAAAGCTCTTTCGCCCCCCATAAGGTCATCAAAGGAATAATAGCACTGTCAAAAGAAACCCGAAGCAATAATGAAGGGGCCTTAATAATTAGAATAGGGTTTTGGGACAGTGCACGTAATCATTAAGGCCCCTATAGTACCAAGGACGCAGAAGTACAAATAATCATGGGACTTAGTAAGTATGGGTTATAAGTACCTTAATTGGGGCTATAAGTAATTATAAGTGTAGTTACCCCAATAATAACCCTAGTTACTAAGTCCCATGATCCTTTCTTTAAGTACAAAGAATCGTCCAGGCGGCGAGTGGCTGATGGACACCAGCTGCGATGGCGCAAAAGACCAGAGACTGCCTTTCATGTTTAGGGTTTATAGGGTTTAGGGTTTAGGAAAGAGCCTTGAACTAAACCCTACACCCTAACCTACCCCCCATAGACGTACGCGTTCCTTCTTTTCATTTCATCCGGAAACCCGGCTGCCATGCGAATCTCTGAAACCCCAATCAATCTGCTTGCGTCCGGCGGCTGAAAGTGAGCTGGCAAAGCCTGAGCATAGGCTTAGGGAAGCTTGTAGGGGTTGAAGGTTTCGGGCCAAGCCACTGCCCTTGGCCTTTAGGGGCCCTGATAGATATATTGCAAGATATTTCTGCTTGAGGGACCCGAAAGTGCACTTCTACGAAAACGTTCGGTGATTTCAAGCGCTCTATCGTCATTCATGGGCTGCTGGCTCCGTTCAGCGCAGCAACGGCCGAGCAGTCCCAGCATTCAGGCTTCCGGCTTGCTTCTTACCTTTGGTTAGTAGGGAATGGAGGAATGGGGTACAATTATATCTACTATTGCTACCGTTCTTCCATTCCCTACTAACCAAAGGTAAGGCTTGGCACCGACTGTTCTGTACTGCGTTGATGGCTGGTATCGATGGTGTATTGGTCTTGAAGTCGTCCTCCTGGTGATCCTTTTCACTTGCTTACGATTGTTAGCATTGCCTTCACCACTGTCATCGTGTGTTAGTCTTTGACGGATCCCCCTTACACAAAGCAGTTCGGCAGCTTGCGGATAATGACCACACGGGGCTGGCCGAGCCTCAGGTGCGATCTCGTGAGGCTACTGAAGGAAGGGAACAGAGTATTTGGAGGATCATGGGACTTAGTAAGTATGGCTATAAGTCCCCTAATGGGGGTTATAAGCAACTGTAAGTATAGTTACCCCAATAATAACCCTAGTTACTAAGTCCCGGATGATCCTTTAAGTAGGCTTTGGCGTTTAAGGTGTAGGCTTTATGGCGGCTTAGGGGTTTGCTGGCTTTAAGGGGTTCGGGTTCCGAGGCTAAGGTTCAGCGTGTGTCAGAAATCGGAGTAAATGAGCATTGGGAGTTTCCGAAAATTATAGGGGTACCTTATTTCGGGGTCCTTACTATGAGGATCCTACTATTTCGGGTGCTATTTTAGGGTCCCCTATTTGCGGAAACTCCCAGTAGAGCATGGCAGCGGGTTGCAACAGCACAATCTCTACCTACTGACCAGTGTCCATCTCGGTTTAGGGTTTAGGGTTTAGGGTCTAGGCTTGAGGGTTTTGGGATTTAGGGCGATAAGGGTTTAGGGTTTAAGGGGTTTAGGGTTTTAGGGTCTAGGGCGATTAGGGTTTAGGGCTTTAAGGGTTTAGGGGTTTAGGGGTTTAGGGGTTTCGGGTGCATCTTTTTCGAGGCACCGAGCGGCTTTGCCAAGACCTGCAAGAGGCCCTCGACATCGCGCGTTGACACCTCCTCCTCCAAGATGTCCTCATTTTCGAGACGGGTGCTTAAAGGATCATCCGGGACTTAGTAACTAGGGTTCCCTAAAGGGCTCCTTTAAAGGGAACTAGGGTTATTATTGGGGTAACTATACTTATAATTACTTATAACCCCAATTAAGGTACTTATAAGCATAGTTACTAAGTCCCATGATCCTCCAAGTGCTGTTCTGGTCGCTTTGCTAGGGGGAGATGCCTGGGGGTTTCCGAAAATAGGGGACCCTAATATGGTACCCCAAATACTAGGATCCTTACTATAGGGACCCCCAAATAAGGTACCCCTATAATTTTCGGAAACTCTCATGTAACGTAATCTTGCGCTGCTTCAGCACATTGCAAGGGTCTCGGGTTCAGAGGACCGTTTTGGCCGAAGTCAAGCCTGCAGTGAATGACATTCCCCAGTGACAGCAAGTCTACATCTTACACACTCTGGACTAGACGCCGGCTGTCTTACGGGCACGGTAACAGCCTGTTGGAACGTCTGGTCCCTAGACACTACACCCTTATAGAACCCCTATAGACCTATAGATCCCTTTAAAGGGACCCTTAAAGGAACCCTTATAACTACCCATGAACCTCCAAGTACCCATAAGAGGTCGGACCGAACCTCGCTCCTCCACTCGTGCAAAGACCATGTTCGTCAGCTCTGCATCCTGAGCTTGGCATCTTTCAAGGGCTGTTTAGGGTTTAGGGCGTTTTGGGTTTAGGGTTTAGGGGTTCTTGGGGCTTTTAGGGTTTAGGGTTTATAGCGTTTAGGGTTTAGGGTTTTTAGGGTTTTTAGGGCTTTTAGGGTTTAGGGTTTAGGGCGTTTAGGGATTTAGGGGTTTAGGGGTTTAGGGGTTTAGGGGTTTAGGGGTTTAGGGGCTCCGAGGTTGTCTTGAAGGGTCGGCAGGACTGAGTCGGTCTCGCCGCTGCCAAATAACCAGCAGCTGAGGTTCAGGACTCATGACATAAGTTGATACAATATCGCATATGATACGACACTATAATTTGTAGTGATATACTACAACGCACTACAAAGCACCATAATATACTGCAACGTACTACTATATACCATACTATACTGCAACATACTATGGTACACCATAGCATACAATAATAGTAGTATACTACAACCTTCTATGATGTGCCAAGGTTTAGGGTGCTGCGCCGAATCGTCTCCGTGTTTTCTAGGAAGACGAATCCGAAGGCTCGGAGTTGGCACTGGATTTGTTCAAACGTAGCGATGTCTTGGAGTGGCGAGGGACTAAGTGGGTAGAGGGTTTAGGGCAAAGTTTAGGGTTTAGGGTTTAGGGGTTTAGGGTTTAAGGGTTTAGGGTTTAGGGGCTTAGGGTTTCAGGGTGTTTACAAAGTTATCAGTATCATCACCACGAGCAGAATGCCTCTTAAGGTACTTATAACCCTACTTATTGCTTGCCTGCTAAGTCCGCCGACCCTCCAAGTACCAATACTGTCCCTTACAGTAGGGCAGCAGGGTCCTTTACTACAGCGATAATATACTATACCCACAAGCACTACCCAAGCACCATTCTAATTCGCAATCTCCTAAGAGCCCCCCCCATATAAGCCCTTAAAGGACCCCTGAACCCCAAACCCTAAACCCTACTATCTCCCTGAAGACAAGGCTCAACGACTCCCCAGCGCAGGAAGGCCTCAAGGAGGTGCACGCAGGAACCGAAGCGAAAATCCTGACCAGGGTTTAGGGTTTAGGGGTTTACGGTTTGGGGGCTTAGGGTTTGGGGGCTTAGGGGTTTAGGGGTTTAGGGTTTAGTTTAGGGGCTTAGAGTTTTGGGGCTTAGAGGTTTACAGGTCTAGACGGCATAAGGGTTTAGAGGTTTATTCCTTAGGGTTCCTTATCATAGATGTATTATATTTATGATACACCCAAAAACCCTGGCCCTATTCTCATTCTGTACGGAACCCCACAGGAGCCAGGTGTTGCAAGCGTTCCTGGAGCTGCCGCATGGCTTCACTGCGGACGAAGGCCACCGCGGATCCCAGGTGGCCTTTCACGGACCGAATGGAAGCAGAGGATTCAGTACTAAACCGTTGGCCTGAATAGGTGGAATAAGTTTTCGGGGTAGATTAGCCAGCAATGCAGGGAACATAACTGATGCTCTTAGATATGCTTTTTCGAAACTGCCAACCGTGCTCTTAGATATGCTCTTGATCCACCCCTGAATAAGGGGAATAGTTGAATACTCGGAATCCTTGCACTTTCTCAGCTTCGAGGGGTTGTAAACGCTGAAATGACACGAGGACTGATGCACCTCATTCGAAGGGCACAGCCTGCTCGAAGGCACACGCAAATGCTGCGATTTGCAGACACCCTGGAACAGACATTTATGTATACTGCATTTATTGCTAGTTTTCCCATCTTGTCGCATCACAAAGAAGAATGGAGTATACCGTCTTACTTCACATCGCCTAGATTTTGCCCGAGGGGCCACGTACACCAAAGCATAAACCCTAAGGTAAGAACCTGATTAAGAAACCTTGGGCCCTTCTGAGGGTTCTCAGTATGGATCCCTATATATTGGGGTTTCTTAATCAGGTTCCTACACTACACCATACTACACCCGACGTGGCCTGCTGTCTGCTCCGTAGGAGGTCCACGAACGCGCAGGGCCGCGAGCGCGACGGCCAGTATGGAGAGGTCCTGAAATCCCAGGGTTTTTGGTGGGCTTTGGGTCCATGTGGGTAGTTGTCAACATTAGGGTCCCTTTTGGGGTACCCTAAATATCAGGTGGCGTAGTATAATAAGCACCCAAAGAGGAACCATAATTTTGACAACCACCCATGTACGTCGAACTACGAGTATGGGATATACAATACATCCATACATCCATCCACCCACCCAGCCAGCCAGCCGCCCACCCAGCCAGCCATCCATCCATGCATCCATGAATACATGCATGCGTACATACATACATATATAACTGTATGTACAGCCGCATCTGTGCATCTACACATACTTACATATGATCTACACAAACTTACATAAAACATATACATGTGTGTGCCTGTATAAACACATACAAAGTGAATCTACAGACATTTTGCTATACACGTATATGCATAGATATAAATGTATGTGTAAATCTATATGTCAACGGTACCTTCTTCTTTTGTGGGTCCTTGCAATAAAGATCCTACTCTTTAGGAAACTATATTAGGACCCCCTATTTTCGGAAACTCCCATATTGATTGAAGAGTATGTACCGGAGTCATGGCAAAACCCGAGACTCTTGAAACCCGAAAGCAGCAGAGATCCTGCTAAGTTACAGCCGCTACAACCTCAAGCTCATCGGAAATGTGGGAGTTTCCGAAAATAGGGGATCCTAATATAGCACCCTAAATGATAGGATCCTTAAAAGAAGGACCCTAAAGGAAGGTACCCCTATATAATTTTCGGAAGCTCCCATGTGTGTGTCTGTGTCTGTGTCTGTGTCTGTGTCTGTGTCTGTGTCTGTGTCTGTGTCTGTGTCTGTGTCTGTGTCTGTGTCTGTGTCTGTGTCTGTGTGTGTGTGTGTGTGTGCGTGCGCGCGTGCGTGTGCGTGTGTGCGTGATTGATGGGTCCTCTGATCATCTCGGGACTCTAAGAGTCCAGGGGATACGATTGCCCGACACCCTACACCCTAAAACCCGAAACGCTGAGCCCTACTCTGTAAAGTTACGCTCAACACTTACCCAGAGGGCCCAATAGCCCTTAACTAAGGACTACTGCTGATGGACAAAATCCTGCATGACCCTAAGGACTCTGAACTATGGGAACTATGGTATATTCCTTATGATGGGTAATGCAGGATTTTGTCCACCAGCCTACCAAACCCTACTTTTTTGTAGGTTCTTATTATAAACCCTCATATGGAATTTATAGGGACCCTACCTTTTTGTAGGTTTTGGTAGGTTAAGGTATGGCTTAAACTTTATGGGGCTTAGCCATCTCAAGCCTGCCTAGCCTTCATTCAGGCTCCGGGCTGCGGGCTTCGGGTTTAGGGCGAACGCGACTAAGGTAGGGGCCCATAATAACTAGACTAGGGTTTGGGGGGGTCCCTATTATAAGTATTTCTTTTTTTGTTTTGAGGGTTCCTTATTATAAGTATAGCATAGTACACCCCCAAACCCTATTCTAATTATTCAAGCCTTTGTACTACATCTCCCAGGCTTCTTCTTTTTTAACCCTGGTTAAGGAAGACTTCTTGAATCACACAAAGGACTCAGGATGGGTACATTGGAAGATGTTCCCTGGTCCTGCGGGCTAATCGCATTGTGACGGTGCGTGGCCACCTGTGGCTGCCATCGTCAAGCGGCTTCACGAGTGCCGTACATTGCCGTACTGCTCTAGCTGAGGGTTCCCATCAGGAGGTCCGCAAGGCCTTCATATATTATCGAAGGTTTGCCAAGCGCTTTCAAACCGTTGCTCCACATGTGAGTCCCCCACATGTTTCAATACGAGCTTGCCATCACAGGGGCTCTTGTTAGAAGTGGCTGTCACTATCACCGAACTCCAGGCATGCCCTAAACCCTAGCCCGAACACCCTGGACCCCACCAAAAACCAAGTAATTGTGGGTCTACTGCAGGTTTTACAATACCGTATAATGTATTCATACACGAACCCAAACAGTACCAAGTCCTAACTCTTAACCCCTAATTTCTCTCTGTCGCAGGCTTGCGGATGTCCGGCACCTAAATCCTAGACCCTACTTGTCAGAGAAACCTACTCAGTGAGTTCCCTGGTCTTCCATGCAACCACGAGACTCCCAGTAACTCTCACTACAGAGTTTCGTTTGTCGGGGTTTAGGTTCAAGGTTTATAGGGTTGAGGATGCAGGAATTAAAGATCAGAGTTTAGCGTAAGTATTGTAGAGAGTGGGCTCTTGTCTTGGTGGGTTCAAGGTCCCTCCACTGAAGTCCTACTCTTCAAGGCCTAATATTGGTATCCGTAGTGGTTCTAAATTCCCACGTCTCTTCGACCAACACCCTCGCCTTTTCTACGGGGCTTTGAGGGCTTTGCTTTCCGGTCCCCCTACATGGTGGCTTGCTATGCGCGGAATTGCGGCAATCTGCCTCTGCGATGCGCTCACTGAGGTCTGCCACTTCGGGCGAACTCACCTGTCGAAGCCCGTGGCGCTTTAGGAAAGCGTTTGGTTAAGGTTAAAGGTTCAAAGCTCAGTCCTGTCAAAAAGGGCTCAAGTACCAGGTTCCCCGGACGTGGATTCCGAAGCTACCCACTCGTCGGCTTCACCATTCGAATGAGGTCCTGGGCAACCCTGCTGAAAACATATATTGGGGCTTTTATTTCAAGTCTTTCCAGAGTCTCGGGGCAGCAGAGACGGCGAAGCGCGTCACCGAGATGTTTCATTTTGCTGCGCAAGTGAAAGTGGGAGAATGAATCCCCATAGCAGTCCTCATATAACCCCTAAAGTAGCCCCTATATCATCCCTACAGAAATCCCTACATAAGCCCTAAAATAGTTCCTACATCACCCATTATAGTATTCTCTATATAATCCCCTACTGTAATCCCTATATAACGTGTTCTAGTAGTCCGTAGATTCTTGCTCCACTCTTCCTAGGCCAAACCGAAGGCCTCCAGTCGAACGACAGCATCGGCAAGCCTTCAGGCTTCCCAGAGGCTCCCAAACCCGTTTTTGTAGGGAATATACTTGAAACCATCAAGGTTCCGATTGTGATTTACGGTATAGTATATTCCAAAATTAAGGGATTTTGGGACGTCTAGGTTTATGACAACAATCTGATACGGGTGCCTTAGTGCTCAGAATAGGGTTTAGTCGTTTATGGTTTTGTTAAGCGCCTCTGTTCTCATCCGCCACAGTCTTGCAACCTGCAAGAAAGTCCGTTCGCACAGGCCAAGTGCCTGCGGCTCAGTGGCCGGAAGCCTGTGAAGCGAATCCTGTGGCGCGAGCTCGAGCAGCAGGTGGACCTGCGGGCTGGCGTGAGATTTTGCTGCACCTCCACGATTTCGGAGGGCAATCGACCAATCCCTGTTGGATCCACTGCAGAACGACACTCTCCGCGAGCAGGCTGCAACTGCAGACTTGCCGGATGCATCCAAAGAGCATGACCCAGACCCAAGGCATGAGAGTCATGGCGATTTGCAAGCAGGCAGTCATGCTCTTGCCAAAGGTGCACTCCGTCATTTGCGCTCCGACGGAGGACAAAGGGGCTGTCAGCCCTAAACCCGCACAGTATCACAGCATGGCCGCATGGCCCTGCCGAATTTGATGCGCTTCGATCTGCCGGGTCTGCCAGGACTTTAGCCATTTCCCCCCTTGGACACGCAAAGATGAGGCCGATGCATTGGAATCTACAACGAATGGCACGTTTCTGTCAGGGCCACAGCGGAACGTGGAAATCATACGAGCTTTGTCCCAATCTCCACTGAAGTGAATGAGTGACGGGTTCTGTAATCTTTCTTTCTCTCACGAGATAAATGGCGGAGAGTAGCGGTGCGTAATGATGCTGATCACCAGCTGCTGCTTGCTCAGGCGCTCGAAAGCATAGCACCTGGGACTGGCCAGGCATACCTGTCATACGGACAATCTCCACAGAGCTCTGCCCTTGCTTTGTAGACGGCTTGTCTTTCGGCGTCCTTTCCCGCGCTTCCCTGCATCCGGCAAAAAAACACACGCGGCAGATGGTCTGCTAATATTATGTAAGCGTCGCAAAGTTACAGCTAACCATGCTACCGACACCAAAGTGCAAAGGCAGCACCACTGTCCACACAACACAGACAGGCACGGGCCTTCTCCGATGTTGTGTCCTCCTGCCACGAAACAGCTAACAGGAGTTAAGCATCCGCAAGAGCATCCCAGCATCCCATATCCTGCAAAGGCAGCTCATCCACCACCAGCTCGCCGAGCACGTCAGCCTTTTCTTCTCGCTTTGCGGCCTCCTCCACAAGCGCTCAAAACAGGTACGTCTCACATCGACGTGGCTTCGGCATAGGCGGCCTGGAGAGCTGCTGCCTGCATTGCTGCATCTGCTAAAGAAACATGCGCGGCACATGATCGACTGCTGTAAGCATCGCACCCTGGCCACGTGCCAGTCAGCCAGGGCAGCCCGGTTGAGGAAGGCCTGTTCCCAAGCCATGGGAAATGTGCACGTGTTGATCTCTGCTGTCGCACCTTCCGGCGCTTCTTGGCAGCTACCTCCTTCTGGAACTTCCGCGGAACGCCTGGCTTCGTCATGGTGGTGGCTGTCTTCCTCATGGTGGCTGTCTACTTGGCAGCGGTGCTCTCCCGCCTGGCCGGCTCGATCTCCCAGAACACCTGCCCAACGACATCAAAGTCAGCAATATGCCCGAGTGGATGTTGATCTCTGCTGAAGCACCTTCCGGTGCTCCACCTCTGCACGTGCCACGCGCGGTGCGGTCCGCAAATCCCCAGGCGAGGTCTGCACACGTTGACCCTCGCTTGTATGTTGCTTAGGGCTTAAGGTTTAGGGAAGTTTAGGGCTTTTGAGGGTGATATAGTACAGCTATATGGGGGATGTGATGGGGATGCCATTGGTAAACAGTCCGACGGTATATCCGGCTTGTTGATGGCTTTGCGGGACAGCTTGTCGTGCGGGGCAGAGCCGGGGCAATGGCATGGTCGAAACGACTAACATAGGGGCCTGAATAGTTAGAAAAGGGTTTTGGGGCGGGCCCATTATGCCATAATTATTTCAAGGAACCCCAACATAGTACAGGTAATTATTTAGGCCCCTACATTAGAAAGGTCTCTAAGCTCTCGATTGTAGCTTTCGAAATTTTCTGTTCGGATATATGTTACTGACAGCTTCTGAAGAAGACACTTGTGGCAGCAGGCAACTGATGCTCACACGGATAACCGGCACCAGCAAGATTAAGGGAAACAGGCTGTTCACGAATGCAAGCCCTTCGAACAATCGGAGCAGTTATAGTGCATCTTCGGTTCGACTCGGCTTGGTCGATTGACTGCTTGGGTGACTGAATGACTGACTGATTGATTGATTGATTGGTTTTTCGGATTGATTCATTGATTGATTGATCGATTAGTTGATTGGTTGATTGATTGATAGACTGATTGATTGATTGATTGATTGATTGATTGATTGATTGGTTTTTCGGATTGACTGATTGATTGATTGATCGCTCGAGTGATTCATGCATTCATTAATTGGTTTATTGGGTGCTTGCTTGCTGGCTTGATTGATGGATTGATGGGTTGGGCTGATAGGTTGATTTGTCGTTCCCGACAGGTGTAGCTATACCATCCGGTTCTAAACAGAACTGTTTCAAAAGTGTTCCACACCCGCGGCTCCCGCTGTAGTGCAGTGCATATTTCGCGCTCGGGCCCAACTGTTTGAAAGCACAGCCCGCTTCATTACAAGTTCTTCTACATGGACCGCTATTTGGGTGGTTGTCAAAATTAGGGTCCCTTTTTGGGTCCTTAGTATAATACGGCACCTAATACTTAGGGTACCCAAAAAAGGGCCATAATTTCGACAACTACCCATTTGGCTTTCAACATGCTTCCACATCTTCCCGACAATAACCCTAGACATTCCGTGCAAAGATGGAGACTCCGCGACTGATACGACAGCTACTTAAGCAGACATCTTGCCTCTTATCCAACATAGGGACCGGAATGACAAGTAATATTACTCCATAGGGTTCCCGAGCGTGTTCATAGCACAGCACCCCGGGAAACCCTACTTTACCTAGTCTTGCCCCCATATGAAACCCCAAACAATTCCTGTATTGCAATGTGACCAGGGCACAGCGCCAGCGTGCGGGAGTTGCACTCGTCCAGTCGGCTGCTTAGGGTGTTCATCCTTTGCTCTTATGAAGCGGAAACGCGGATTTCGTGGGGTTTGCACAAACAAAACCTAAACCTGAGCTCACCCTAAACTGAATAGAGCGTTCGGGGTGTAGCGTTTAGAGTTTAGGCTGTTGGGGATGATGCTCGAAGTTTCTGATGCTGTAGCCTGGCATTTCTTCTTCCTGGCCGGCGCTGGCTCAAGAGAATATGGCCCTACGTAGCTACCAATGCCGTTTTGGGGGCTTATAGACCCCAAAACATCATTCGAATTCTTAATAAGGTCTCTTCTAGTAACCCCTTGTTTTGAACCCTCAAAGAAGCCCCACGTCGAACCAGGAAGGCCCCTACATTCAACAACTTCATATCGCTGGGGCGAACCCAGATCTGCCGAAGCGAGAGGTTTCAAAGGGGAAGAGGAGGGACCCTTAATGGGGACCCCTATATAGGGTTCCTTAAAGGGATCTATAAGGAATCTATAAAGGGTTTAGGGTTTAGGGTGTATCAAAGGGGAAAAGGAGGGACCCTTAATGGGGACCCCTACGGTATAACGGGCTATATAATGGGTATATAACATAGCTATATTAAGGGTAGATACCTAGGGATCCTTATTCAGGGTCACTCCTTTTACCTTGGAATGCTTCAGAGAGGCCACCAGGAAGTTTAGGGGTTTTGGCGATGAGGGGTCTGGGAAGTTCAAAACTCAAACAGGGTTTGGGCCGGTTCTTGTGCTACAGATCTTCCAGGGAGCTCAAACGAATCCTGGTATCATTGCTGCTATGTCTCACCGCTGATAATAAGGCTCCTAGTTTTGAATCAACGCTAAGCTGCAGAACGTGGAATCTGCCGTCGGTGCTCAGCCGCTTTCGTGTCCAAGCCTTCTCTGTCCGTGGATCTGTGGAACTCTGGGTTCGGATTTCAGGTTTATGGTTCAGGGTTTGAGGTTTAGGGTTTGGGGTTTGAGGTTTGGGGTTTAAGATTTAAGGTTTAGGGTTTAGGGCCAGTTTAGGGTTTGAATGAATGGTTGAAATTGTAATCGGCTTAAACGCCAAGCACTACACCTGAAACCCTTAAGCCTAACCCTAAAATGCCCTGACATCCTTCTTCGGCTCACGCAAGCCAAAACAATCAGCCGGGCCTTCTTGCCCGATGGCCGAGGCTCGCGCATGAGGCCCCCCAGCCTTGGCCAAGCACGTGAAGCAGTAACGAAAATACAAATTCATAATAATAATAATAATAATAATAATGACAATAACAGTAATAATAACAATACTAATAAAATAACAATAGTAATAATAATAACACATACTGGCAACAGTCATAATCATTATACCCAGGCCGGCTTTGATTAAAACCGGCGAGTAGGGTTTCAGGTTCAGGGTTGAGGGCCATGAACCTGACTACCACAAGAGAAAGGCAGAAACACCCGAAAAGAACTGTCCGGTTTTGGCATTAGGGTTCTGCTGGATGCTTCACGCGGAATGCCAACGGGCAGGTTTCAAAATCGAAACTTTTCGAGGAGCTAGGTAGTTAAGCGCTTGGAACTAAAATCGTCTCGAGCTGATCCAAAACTCTCCGAACTAGCCTCTCCGTTGAAAATTGAAACATTCCACATGGGATGACGGGCACTCGATTCTGACGCTGACCCATGTTACCATGTGGGTGTGCGCAAAGTTGCGTCACCTCGCCATTTTCAAACCCCAAAATCTGCAATCGCAAGCTTGCCTGAACCCCCAGCGCGAAGGATCTCCCCCCCGAACAAATTGGGGGTGGAACCACTGCAGCAGCTGCAACCTAAAACCCCCCTGTAAACGCACGCATCAAAACCCTAAACCCCTAGACCCTATAAACCCCCATAAACCCCCATAAACCCCTATACACCCCTATAAACCCCATAAATCCCTAAACCCCCCATAGTTCCGAGGTATCTTTGAATCCATGGATCCGACGGAGGACCAGCTCGAGCACGGCCAAGTCATCGGCTTCCTCGGCAGCGGAAAAAAACTTCTCCGCTTTGCTTCTTCTTTGCGGATCATGGGACTTAGTAAGTTTGGTTATAAGTACCTTAACTGGGGCTATAAGTATTTATAAGTATAGTTACCCTCATAATAACCCTAGTTACTAAGTCCCATGAGCCTTCAAGACCGAACCCGGAGACTCCAAAACCCCTTAAGTAAGGAACTTACCTAAAGTTAGAATCGGAAACCTAGTAAGATGCGAGGTATATATATTCCTTACTTAAGGGATCTCTCGGAGTCTCTGGGAACCTGTGGGTGTAACATGACATAATAATCCCTTCCCCCTTTTATTAAAGGGACCCCTAATTATAAAAACACTTTTCCCCCGATCCACCCGGAAGTAGCACCGCCCTTTAAACCCTAATTTGAATTAGGGGGAAGGTTTAGGGTCTACAGATTGAGGGTTTAGGGGGAAGAATTATAATTGCATGACTCAGCAACTGCTCAACTGAGCCGCATGAAAAGCTTTATCAGCCAAGCCTTTATTGAAGCCTAGTTTTTTAATGCGCATTTACGGATTTAGTGTGTATTTGCACGGATTTGTGTATCTGCACGGATCTAGTGTGCTTTGCACTCACGTCCTGTGTAGTTGCACGAATTTAGTGCGTATTTGCATTGGATTTGGTGTGTATTATACGCATTTAGCGTGTGTTTGCACGGATCCTCAGTATTTGCACGCATTTGGTGTCGAATTACAGGGATTTAGTGTGTGTATTTACACGGATTGAGTGTGTATTTGCACAGATTCCGTGTGTATTTGCACGCATTTACTGTGTACCTGGTGTGTAGTTAGAGGGATTTAGTGTGTGTCTTTACACGGATTTAGTGTGTGTTTGCATGGATTCGGCGTGTATTTGCACGGATTTAGTGTGTATTTGCATGGATTTGGTGTGTATTTGCACGCATTTCGTGTGTGTTAGCACGAATTTGGTGTGCATTTGCACGAATTTCGTTGTCTTTGCACGGATTTAGTGTGCACTTGCACGGATTTGGTGTGATTTGCAGCCCTTATAATAGCGTTTCTTAAGTCTCCAGAGAGCCCAGAGCTTCAGGTCACCCCAAAATCTCGATTCCGGGTAGGGAAAGGGCCCAAATGACACCCGCGGGGATTGAGCCCACGACCTTTGCCAGGAGGGGTCTGGAGCCGGACACTTACCCATTAGGCCATGGCCACATAGTCTCTCTAGGGGGTTTCGGCAAGGTCCCAGGCCCAATTCTGACGGTGTCCCCTTGGGCCCTTTCCCCATCCAGAATCGAAATTTGAAAGGACCAAAAACCGCCAAGAGCACAACCAAACCCGCCGAAAACCGCGCAAACCCACCGAAACCCTCCCCGGTGCAAGTTCCCAACATCAACAGCAGGTTGCAGAGGTTGAACCAGCAGGTTGCAGAGGTTGAGCCAGCAGGTTGCAGAGGTTGAACCAGCAGGTTGCAGAGGTTGAACCAGCAGGTTGCAGAGGTCGAAGCTGCAGGTTGCAGAGGTTGAAGCAACAGGTTGCAGAGGTTGAACCAGCAGGTTGCAGAGAGGTTGAACCAGCAGGTTGCAGAGGTTGAACCAGCAGGTTGCAGAGATTGAAGCAGCAGGTTGCAGAGGTTGAAGCAGCAGGTTGCAGAGGTTGAACCACAGCAGGTTGCAGAGGTTGAACCAGCAGGTTGCAGAGGTTGAACCAGCAGGTTGCAGAGGCAGAGGTTGAACCAGCAGGTTGCAGAGGTTGAAGCAGCAGGTTGCAGAGGTTGAAGCAGTAGGTTGCACAGGTTGAACCAGCAGGTTGCACAGGTTGAACCAGCAGGTTGCAGAGGTTGCACCAGCAGGTTGCAGAGGTTGAACCTGCATGTTGCAGAGGTTGAACCAGCAGGTTGCAGAGGTTGAAGCAGCAGGTTGCAGAGGTTGAGCCAGCAGGTTGCAGAGGTTGAACCAGCAGGTTGCAGAGGTTGAAGCAGCAGGTTGCAGAGGTTGAAGCAGCAGGTTGCAGAGGTTGAACCACAGCAGGTTGCACAGGTTGAACCAGCAGGTTGCAGAGGTTGAACCAGCAGGTTGCAGAGGCAGAGGTTGAAGCAGCAGGTTGCACAGGTTGAACCTGCAGGTTGCAGAGGTTGAACCTGCAGGTTGCAGAGGTTGAAGCAGCAGGTTGCAGAGGTTGAACCTGCAGGTTGCAGAGGTTGAAGCTGCAGGTTGCAGAGGTTGAAGCAGCAGGTTGCACAGGTTGAACCAGCAGGTTGCACAGGTTGAACCAGCAGGTTGCAGAGGTTGAACCAGCAGGTTGCAGAGGTTGAACCTGCAGGTTGCAGAGGTTGAACCTGCATGTTCCAGAGGTTTGGTGGGCTTGCGCGGTTTTGGGCGGGTGTGGTTGTGCTCTCTTGGCGCTTTTGGTCATTTCAACATTTCGATTCTGGATGGGGAAAGGGCCCAAAATGACACCGCAAGAATTGGGCCTGCGACCTCTCCCAAAACTACTAGCAAGGTGCGCAACCTTGCCAAAAACTATCTGGCAATGGCCTAATGGGTAAGTGTCCGGCTCTAAAGCCTTCTTGGCAAAATTCGTGGGCTCAATCCCCGGGGGCGTCATTTAGGCCCTTTCCCCACCCGGAATCGAGATTTTGGGGTGGCCTGAAGCTTTGGGCTCTCCGGGGACTCTCTAGAGCGGACTGGGTGCACATCCGGCTTTCGTGGGGCAGGTTGCAGAGGTTGAACCAGCAGGTTGCAGAGGTTGAAGCAGCAGGTTGCAGAGGTTGAAGCAGCAGGTTGCACAGGTTGAACCAGCAGGTTGCACAGGTTGAACCAGCAGGTTGCAGAGGTTGAAGCAGCAGGTTGCAGAGGTTGAAGCAGCAGGTTGCAGAGGTTGAACCACAGCAGGTTGCACAGGTTGAACCAGCAGGTTGCAGAGGTTGAACCAGCAGGTTGCAGAGGCAGAGGTTGAAGCAGCAGGTTGCACAGGTTGAACCTGCAGATTGCAGAGGTTGAACCTGCAGGTTGCAGAGGTTGAAGCAGCAGGTTGCAGAGGTTGAACCTGCAGGTTGCAGGGTTGAACCAGCAGGTTGCAGAGGTTGAACCACAGCAAGTTGCAGAGGTTTAACCAGCAGGTTGCAGAGGTTGAACCAGCAATTTGCAGAGGTTGAACCAGCAGGTTGAACCTGCAGGTTGCAGAGGTTGAAGCAGCAGGTTGCAGAGGTTGAACCAGCAGGTTGCAGAGGTTGAACCTGCAGGTTGCAGAGGTTGAAGCTGCAGGTTGCAGAGGTTGAAGCAGCAGGTTGCAGAGGTTGAAGTTGCACAGGTTGAAGCAGCATGAAGCAGCAGGTTGCAGAGGTTGAACCAGCAGGTTGCACAGGTTGAACCAGCAGGTTGCACAGGTTGAACCTGCAGGTTGCAGAGGTTGAAGCAGCAGGTTGCAGAGGTTGAACCTGCAGGTTGCAGAGGTTGAAGCTGCAGGTTGCAGAGGTTGAAGCAGCAGGTTGCAGAGGTTGAACCAGCAGGTTGCACAGGTTGAACCAGCAGGTTGCAGAGGTTGATCCACAGCAAGTTGCAGAGGTTTAACCAGCAGGTTGCAGAGGTTGAACCAGCAATTTGCAGAGGTTGAACCAGCAGGTTGAACCTGCAGGTTGCAGAGGTTGAAGCAGCAGGTTGCAGAGGTTGAACCAGCAGGTTGCACAGGTTGAACCAGCAGGTTGCACAGGTTGAACCAGCAGGTTGCAGAGGTTGAACCAGCAGGTTGCAGAGGTTGAAGCAGCAGGTTGCAGAGGTTGAACCAGCAGGTTGCAGAGGTTTGGTGGGTTTGCGCGGTTTTGGGCGGGTGTGGTTGTGCTCTCTTGGCGCTTTTGGTCATTTCAACATTTCGATTCTGGATGGGGAAAGGGCCCAAAATGACACCGCAAGAATTGGGCCTGCGACCTCTCCCAAAACTACTAGCAAGGTGCGCAACCTTGCCAAAAACTATCTGGCCATGGCCTAATGGGTAAGTGTCCGGCTCCAAAGCCTTCTTGGCAAAGGTCGTGGGCTCAATCCCCAGGGGCGTCATTTGGGCCCTTTCCCCACCCGGAATCGAGATTTTGGGGTGGCCTGAAGCTTTGGGCTCTCTGGGGACTCTCTAGAGGGGACTGGGTGCACATCCGGCTTTCGTGGGGCAGGTTGCAGAGGTTGAACCAGCAGGTTGCAGAGGTTGAACCAGCAGGTTGCAGAGGTTGAAGCAGCAGGTTGCAGAGGTTGAAGCAGCAGGTTGCAGAGGTTGAGCCAGCAGGTTGCAGAGGCTGAACCAGCAGGTTGCAGAGGTTGAAGCAGCAGGTTGCAGAGGTTGAAGCAGCAGGTTGCAGAGGTTGAAGTTGCACAGGTTGAAGCAGCATGAAGCAGCAGGTTGCAGAGGTTGAACCTGCAGGTTGCAGAGGTTGAACCTGCAGGTTGCAGAGGTTGAAGCTGCAGGTTGCAGAGGTTGAAGCAGCAGGTTGCAGAGGTTGAACCAGCAGGTTGCAGAGGTTGAACCACAGCAGGTTGCAGAGGTTGAACCAGCAGGTTGCAGGGGTTGAACCAGCAGGTTGCAGGGGTTGAACCAGCAGGTTGCACAGGTTGAACCAGCAGGTTGCAGAGGTTGAACCACAGCAGGTTGCCGAGGTTGAACCAGCAGGTTGCAGAGGTTGAACCAGCAGGTTGCAGAGGCAGAGGTTGAAGCAGCAGGTCGCAGAGGTTTAACCAGCAGGTTGCAGAGGCTGAACCAGCAATTTGCAGAGGTTGAACCAGCAGGTTGAACCTGCAGGTTGCAGAGGTTGAAGCAGCAGGTTGCAGAGGTTGAACCAGCAGGTTGCAGAGGTTGAAGCTGCAGGTTGCAGAGGTTGAAGCTGCAGGTTGCAGAGGTTGAAGCAGCAGGTTGCAGAGGTTGAAGTTGCACAGGTTGAAGCAGCATGAAGCAGCAGGTTGCAGAGGTTGAACCAGCAGGTTGCACAGGTTGAACCAGCAGGTTGCACAGGTTGAGCCAGCAGGTTGCAGAGGTTGAACCAGCAGGTTGCACAGGTTGAAGCAGCAGGTTGCAGAGGTTGAGCCTGCAGGTTGCAGAGGTTGAATCTGCAGGTTGCAGAGGTTGAAGCTGCAGGTTGCAGAGGTTGAACCTGCAGGTTGCAGCGGTTGAACCAGCAGGTTGCAGAGGTTGAACCAGCTGGTTGCAGAGGTTGAGGTTGAAGCAGCAGGTTGCCAGCAGGTTGCAGAGGTTGAACCAGCAGGTTGCAGAGGTTGAACCAGCAGGTTGCAGAGGTCCCTCTAACCACACACCAGGCACACACGGAATCTGTGCAAATACACACTCAATCCGTGTAAATACACACACTAAATCCTTGGGATTACACCAAATGCGTGCAAATACTCAGGATCCGTGCAAACACACGCTAAATGCGTATAGATACACACCAAATCCATGCAAATACACACCAAAGCCGTGCAAATACACACAGAATCCCAGCAGCAGCAGCAGCAGTAGCAGTAGTGGTAGCAGTCGCAGCAGTAGCAGCAATCGCAGCGGCAGCAGGAGCAGGAGTAGTAGTGGTATTGTCACTAGCAGGAGTAGAACATCCGCAGCATCAGCACCAATAGCATTTGGGCAAAGGGGCATGGGAAAGTGGGAATGGGTGGGTTTTGGTGGGTTTGCGCGGTTTTAGGGCGGGTTTGGTTGTGCTCTTGGCGGTTTTTGGTCATTTCAACATTTCGATTCTGGATGGGGCAAGGGCCCAAAAGGACACCGCCAGAATTGGGCCTGCGACCGTGCCCAAATCCCCTTTGGAGGCAGCCGCCCGCCCCCAAGAGTATCTGGCCATGGCCTAACGGGTGAACATCTGCCTCCAAAGCCTACCTGGCAAAAGTCGCGGGCTCAAGGATGTGAGATAACAACACCCCCCTAATTATAAAAACATTTTCGAGTTTTTATTTAGGGCGAAGGGGGGGGGGGGCCCGACCCTTTAATATTAGGGGGAAGGGATTACAAAACATCTTCTGATCTGATGCAATAACAAACCATGTGTAAGTAAATATGACAATACAGGGGCCTTCATGATTAGAATAGGGGCTCGGGGCATATTATAGCTGCATATAGAAGTAGGATGGCCAACGAGAATAGGGGCCGGAAGAACCAGCAACATGCTTAGGCTTTGGGTCTTTTCTGGCTTCGGATTTCGGTGTTGGGGGTCTGGTGTTAGCACCTCTCCACTCCAAATGTGAGCTTTCAGTTCAACGTCGAGCATGGTTCAACGCTCCCACCGCCATGGTGGAGTCTCTACAATCGCATAACACTTGGGACGCAGAGACAGAGCCAGTGCTAGTCGCACGTCATCAACTTGCGAAGAGCCCTCGCAAAGCCCAGACCATCTCAATGGCAACTTACCAGCGAGGCAGCGTCGGAAACTCGAAGTTCACAAAACCCTGGTCATTACCGTTTCCGAAAAACTGTATGGTATCAGTAAAGTATAGCTTTTCTACAGCTTGGTATGGTACAGTATAGCACAGTACGGTTTGACCCATTATCCTACACTATTGTGAGCCTAAACCCTAAACCCTGACTGAGTCGCATGAGCCAGGGCGTAGCGGAGCAGCTGTCCCGGTTTATGGAGTTGCCCTGAAGCTTCCAAGCTCAGTCTGACGTGGTGGCTTCAGGATTCCTGTCAAGGGTTCTATATCTTAAGAACAAGAATAGGGTTCCCCTCAAGGATACTTAAAAGGATTCTATAAGGGATCTATAAGAGGGTTCTATAAGGCTTACTTTTGGGGGCTGAATACCCTAGCCTGAAACAGCCTTGACCTTTTCAATCATCGTAGAATTATGTAAAAAAACGGTTAAAGGTTACCTACTCAGCTACTAAGTACTATGAGGGTCATTACAGGATCCTGTGCATACGAATAGGTTTTTCGCGTTTCGGCTGTGAGCTTCAGCTTTTACAGGCCAAACGATGGAGCCTCGTGTCTGCAGGAAGAAGCTCAACAAGTAGCAGAGGACCCTATCCTAGACCCTACACCGCCCTAAACTTAAAACCTAAACCCCTGAGAATCCCTTGTCAAGCAATCTGAGTTGTCTTGTAAGCCCTTTCAAAAAATTACTATTCTGGTTCTCTACAAAATAGCAGGGGGAAAGTTAAAGAATCCAAAAGGACAACCCAGGCCAGAGATGAAACCGACGCTCGGCTTGCCCACTGGCCCGCAGGGAAGCAAAGCTCTGGCAGTCCCTTGCACCAGTCACGTAGATACTGGGTTTCTGCGTTGAAGGTTTACCTTAACCCTAAAAAAACCTACCTTTTTATGGACTTATCATATTGGGGGGCCCTAAAAAGGTAGGTTCCTTAGGGTCCAGGTGGGGTTTAGCATTCGGGGGAACCCTGACACCCTGCCGCGCACATTGCCCGTTTGTTTTGTTGTAACCTACACTTTCACCCTAAACCCTAACCCCTAGACCCTAAACAGCCGAGAAGCTCAATTCTTCGATTGCCTTGGCTGCTTTGGTGGGGGAGGACCTTGAGAATTCACTGAAGGGTTGCTTGGAAGGGTGTTGATGAAGGCTCTGTCTTATGGGGGCCTATTTGGTGTATATGTTCTTATGTATATACTTGTGATTTTTTGTTTGGTTATTTGTATATGTTTTCATTGGTTTACTGACGTACCTGCTTGGTTGCTGATCCGCTTATTTCTATCAAGAACCCTAAGGTGGAGTAGAGCTTTATAGTGAGACTAGGGTTTTAGGGTATATCATAACATAACTTTATTGAGGAACCCCAGGCACTTGCATTCAGGCACCCGAAGGAACAATGTTGGTCATTATTCAGGCACTCTATGTCAGAGCTTCATGTAGACCGCTCATTGATAAACCCGCGTTCTTTAAGGGGCCTCAAAGTAACAGTAGTGTAAGGATCCTTAACATAATCCCTATCACGGGGAGGGAGTTCATTATTGGATTTGGGGCTTAAAGGTTTAGGGTTTAGGTTTTATCAGGGTTCAATTGATTTGTCTGGACTTTAGCACGGCCTTCTCTTTGTGGAGCTGCGCCCTTCGAAATAAGGACCCTTTTTGAGTGGTCCTTGCCTTTGCAATTCAAAAAGGATCCTTTACTTTTTATAAGATTGCAAAAAGAAACTCCGTTTAGGTTTTGGATCCTACGACTGCTTTTATTTTGCTGACCCTGGGTGCAGCTTTGCAGCTCCACAAGTTCAGCAGTTCATGGGTAGTTGCACAGCATGCGCCAAGACTCTAGCCGGCTGACTTGTACTTGGAGGATTCTGGGACTTGGTGTGTATGGCTACGGGTGGTGCATAGTTACCTTAACAAGAACCCTAGTTACTAAGTGCCATGATCCTCCAAGTATCGTTGCCTCCTCTTGCAACTACCCAGAACCTTCAAGCTACTGGTGCCAAGCAGCTGGATAAATCGGCGAGTTCGTCCCGAAGCTGCGGACCCACAGGCCATGTGGCGGCAGCCACAGACGTGGGGCGCGGGTGAGACGCAGCATAAGAACGCAAGCTCGAGGATGAAGGGGAGCAACGGATGTCTTGAAGGATCATAGTTAAAGGATCATGAGACTTGGTAACTAGGGTTATAACTAGGGTAACTATATACTTATACTTACTTATAACCTCAATTAAGGTACTTATGACCGTACTTACTAAGTCCCATGATCCTCTCCAAGTAGAGCTTTGCCAACCAGCCTCTAGTTGGGGCTATGGTGCTTCTCAGCTCAACTGCATGCAGTAGGATGGTGCAGATTTCAGGCCTTATTAGGGTTAAGGGTTTAAGGGTTTAGGGATTTGTTGCGATGTGCCTGTGCCCGCACTGAGCAAAAACGCGAAACCTGAAAGCCGAACGCCCCGAGATCCTAATCGATTGGCGCGCGAAGCCTCAGAGGCACCGGTGCGCTTGTTAAGGCTGTGTGTCCCTGCGGGCTGCAGGCTAAGGAAACCTTCCTTGAGCATGCCCAAACGGCTGCAGCAAAGCATATCTACAACTTCAACCCTTAACCCTAAAACCTAAACCCCTAAACCCTAAACCCCTAAACCCCTCAACCCCTAAACCCTAAACCCCTAAACCCTGTCCTAAGCCCGAGAGCCCAAACATCCCAAAGCATAAGCTCTAGAACACTTACAGGAGCCCTAACAGAATTCCTTTCCCAAAAGCTTATCACCCCAAAGGCTACGGAGGCAAACCCACAAGGAACCCTAGACCGTAAGCCCCAACCCTAAACCATACAGATTCATTACAGAGCCCTTATAGATCCCTTTAAAGGAACCCTAAACTTTAAACCCTATAAACCCTAAGACCAAAGACTAACGAAGCGCAACGAAGGCCCGAATGCTCAGACCCGCGCCCACGGCCCCCGTGGCGCTGCGCAGGCGCAAAAGGACCAGCTGTCTCAGCTCGGGGCCTGGGCGCAAGAAGGAAGCTACATAATTAGAGTAGGGTTCCCTTTAGAGGGCTCCTGAAAAGGGATCTTTCGGGTTCTATCAGGGATTTAGGGGTGTAGGGGCCTCGGCACAAGAAGGCAAGGAGATTTGGAATAGCCCAGAGAGCCCAATACCCCTTGAGAATCCTTTAAAGGAACCCTTCAAGCTACCCTTATAGTAACCAGAAAAAGGAGCCATAAGGTACCCCCTAATTTTTTCGGAAACGCCCATGTAGGATGGCAAGTACGGAGCATCCTCGAGGCTACGGCTGCTTTTTGCCAGCTCTTTGAGCTGCGCCGCAGGGGAGGCAGCCGGCTCAGCCTGCCAAAGGTTTGGTGGGACATTGTGATAGAACTCTGTTTAGATCATGGGGGGCCTTACAAAATGGAACAATCCATTACAGCCCTCAAGGCCTTTGAATGCAGGTTTTCTGGATTTAAAACGGCATCACAGGGTTTTATAGACTTATCTGGGCTTGACAAGCGCTTCTACGGTTTTAGAGGGCTGAGCGATCTCGAAGACCTTCCGAAACCCGCTAAGACTGCAACAATATGCAAAAACACTTTAATGTGCATGTTACGCAGGTCGCGACCAGCTCTTCAAATGTGAACTCACGAAACAGCGACCACCAGATCGTAGTAGTGATGGCAATCGTAACCATATTATGAGAGAAAACACAGCAGTGATACTAAGAGTAATACTCGTGCAGTGCAAATAGCACCCAAAAGTAATCATAGTATTCATCCTATGTAGCAATAGTGGGTAAGAACCGCAACAAGCGTAAACATAGTAATCATGACAACATTTAGTAGCAATAATCGTTGCAACAAGAACATTGATCGACGACAGCAGTAATGCCAATAAGAACAATCTTGGGAATAACAGCTTGATTTGAAACTCCATCGAAAGCGCCCTTCCCAAAGTCTCACTAAGAAGCACTGTGCCTGACCCTGCGCGAGGTCGGCGTCCTTCAAGCTGTCTGTGCGTTCTACGTGGGTTCTTCAAAAGGGCCCTAGAGCCGTAATGTAGGGGCCTGAATAATTAGAATAGGGGTTGGGGTCCCATGATACATAATTGTAATAATCGAACCCTAAAATAGTATAGGTAATGATTTAGGCCCCTATATTAACACGAGTCTACACGCGGGTCCTGCAGCGTCTGGACAGTCTGGACTTCTGCATCCAGGACCTTGCCTCAGATTTGGTCTGGTCTACTTAAAGGATCATGGGACTTAGTAACTAGGGTTATTACCAAAGTAACTATACTTATAACTACTTATAACACCCAATTAAGGTACTTATAACCATACTTACTAAGTCCATGATCCTCCAAGTAGGGAAGCAGACCGCCCTTGAGAACGCTTCCAGCAAAGAGCTCAAAAGTCTGCCTAAACCCTGAAGCCTAGAGCCTAAACCCCAAACCTGTAAACCCTAAACCCTATAAACCCTAAACCCCAAACCTAAACCCAACCCTAAACCCTAAACCCCAAACCTAAACCAAACCCTAAACCCTAAACCTTAAACCCTAAACCCTAAACCCTAAGCGGCAGGTGCTGAGGCCTCTGCACCACGCGTCCCCGCAAGGCACTGGCCTCAGACGCAGACCCCCGTCCACGGGTTTAGGGCTTGGGGTTTATAGGGTTTAGGGGTTTAGAGGGTTTAGGGGTTTAGGGGTTTAGGGGTTTAGGGGTTTAGGGGTTTAGGGGTTAGGGTTTTTGGGGTTTAGGGGTTTAGGGGTTTAGGGGTTTAGGGGTTTAGGGGTTTAGGGGTTTAGGGGTTTAGGGGTTTAGGGTTTAGGGTTTTTGTGGTTTAAAGTTTAGGGTTTAGGGATGACAGTGCTTCGTGTGAGGGAGCGACTTGCAAGGCCTCGTTCGGTGCAGGCAACACGAATCTCGATTCGACATGTAAAGAGTCAATGTCTGAGGTGTTCTGAAATCTAAAGGTCTTTGTGTGCGTGTGTGTTTCTACGGGCCATGCGTCGAAACAGATCAGAACTCATGACGTGCCTCACACACGAAATCTTGCAGTCGTTGGTGCCGAAGGTGTTGGGGGTTGTATTTTCGCGAGCACCGTCCATCTCGAACCAAGTTCGGATCAGCCGAAGAACCATCGACCACTCTCGAAACAGGCAGTAGCTTAAGTGGCCAGACGATTAAAGAAATCGGCATCCTCAGATCTGTTACAGACGTGATGCTAGTAGTCTCTCGGCCTGCGGCTCCAAGACCGGCCCACATTGCCACACATTTAAGGTACCACAGTAAAGCAACTCCACACTTTACTTCAGACCCCATTCATTCTGGTATTTTAAAATCTTACTCTAAGTATAGATCCCTAACAATGGTGGTAAGTAAAACTAAACTCCTCAGCTAGAACCTAGACATCATCCCAGACCCAGGGAGCCCCCAATACCCCTTTATTAAGGAATATGGCTTAGATCACAATATGAAGCCCTATATAGTCTAAGCCATGTTCCTTAATTAAGGGGTTTGGGGCTCTCTGGGGACACCAGCTCCTCTGTCTAAGCAATGACGTGACTTTGCGCTTGCATCGAGAGCTCTTTGGGAAGGACGTATCCGTAGTTACCTTAGTTACTTGGGGCAGATTGAAGTCTCTCGGTAATATCGAGGCCTTCATGCTTAGGGTAGAGTTAGAGGGCATGCATACTGATATAGTACCCCAAGTAATAGGATCCAAACTATAAGGACCCCAAATAAGGTACCCCTAATCATGTAGGCTCAGATTCATAATGGGGACTGTAAGGGCCTCGACCGCTCTGAAAGCAACTCGGCGAGCCGCGGCTTGATGTCGTCGTCGTCCTGCTTCGCTTTGGTGAGGTGTGACCTTGCAGCTGACCCAGGGGAGTCTCTGACAACGGTTTCGGGATTCTTTGGGGTTTAGGGTTACTACCCCTGATACCTTACATCGTAAGGCTTTAACCGCAAGACGTCGACCTAGAAAGAGAGGACGGAAGAAGAGGAGAAAATGGAGTCCGCGGCCAGTCGAAGTGCAATCACGATCCCCATTGAAATCCTGACTGCGTTGCTGATGAACTCTGGCACCATCTCGGACAAAAGCAATCCTGCTCTCCATCGGACATGATCAGACGAGATGCCAGCAACACAGTCAAAAAACAAATGAAGCTATGAGCCATCACCACTCATGAAAGTCTATGCAGTGCAGACGTCATCAGCTACGATGGTGACGTCGAAGAGCGGTTGACGAGATGAAACGGCAGGCAGCTCCTCTCTACAGCAAGGAAACCTGAACTCTTGGGTAATAAAGACTCCTGGCCAACTATATCATGTAATATGACATTATACGATGCAGCATAAAATGACATAACGTAGTAAAATAAGGAACCCCCAAAAAATAGTATAGGTAATAAGTAAGGCTCCTATAGTAGAACCCCCCCCCTGCCTTTAGAAGCACCTATATATACCCCAAACACTAAACTCTCAGACCCTAGAACGAGCCGCAAAGCGCAAAAATCCCTAAACCCATAAGACCCCTTTAAAGGAACCCGAGGATCTCCACAGGTAACTACTACTCCTCTCCTTGGAGGATCATGGGACTTAGTAAGTATGGCTATAACTACCTGAATTGGGGTTATAAGTATACTTACCCTAATAATAACCCTATAGTTACTAAGTCCCATTAAGTACCTTAATTGGCGTTATAAGTATAGTTACCTTAATACATAACCCTATAGTTACTAAGTCCCATGATCCTTCAAGTATAGTAGCCCAAGGTCCAGGCGCCAGTCGCAGCAGCGCAGCGGAGCGGCAGCGCAGCGCCTCCGAGAAGACTCTCTAAGGCTTTACCTACTTGTCGGGTTTAGGGTTTAGGGTTCATGGGGAACCAAAGGTTAACCTTTTTGGTTATGTAGGGATTATATAGGGACTATACTACCCGGAAAAGGTTAAAGGTTCCCTACTCTACTACTAGGTTTAAGGGGTTTCATATTTTTGAAGAATCTTTCAGGCTCTCAAGGGGCTTCATGATTCTTCAAAGTTTTCCAGGGTCTCGTTTTGCAGTTTACTACGGCCTTGAAGCGATTTTTGAAACGGAGTTGCAGGGTGCCCAGTGTCTGATCCAATTTCTTTGAAAGATCTCTCCATATCGGAAGTGGGCGCGTGATTTCAGGAGCCCATGAAACCCCATTCAACTCCAAAAACTGCTAGAAACCCCGTTTGTAAGGTTTTTCCCTAACCCTTAAACCCCTAAACCCCTAAACCCCTAAACCGCCAAACCGCCAAACCCCTAAACCCCTAAACCCCTAGACCCCTAACCGCAAGCGGCTCCCGGAAAGCAGTGTCCATGGAGCCTCGCGAAGCCTCGTCTCTCGCGCACCTCGACAGATTCAGGAGGGCTCCCAGAGAGCCCAATACCCCCTAATTAAGGAACATGGCTTAAATTAGATAGGGCTTCATATCATGAGTTAAGCCATATTCCTTAATTAAGGGGTATTGGGCTCTCTGGGTTCAGCGGTGGTGGGGTGTGGGCGGTTGAATTGCGTAATATAGGGGCCTCAATCAATAGAATGGGTTCTGTGGTATATTATACAATAATGATCATAAGGAGCCCTCAAACAGTATTGGTAATGGTTTAGGCCCCTATATTAAGGGGCGTGTGGCTTGAGGGTTTACAGTGTGGGGTTTGGGGGTAAGATTAAACTCTACCCTGCGGATGCAAATCACCGATGCCGCCTGCCGCTGCCAACTCCTGGCGAACCTCTGTCACACTTCGGAGCGCATCCTGCACGAGCCACAAGCTAGGCTTTCGGGTTTACGGTTTGGGGGAAAGGCCTGAAGGGCATTGATTCCAAGACAACAGTATCCAGCCTGCCAACTCTGCGGACGTACAAAGTCTAAGCTACGCGGCAATCTCGCTTTGCGCTGGAGCTGGCGCTAGCTGTTGCATAGGTCTAGGTGCTTACATGTCTGTCGGATTTTATGTGAGGTAGCTGTAGGTGTAACTGCTTCTGACCTCAACCGATGGACTCACTATAACCACATCTATCTATTAATAACCGATGTCTGTCCATGAGTCCCTAAACCCCGACAAAATCCCGATTCGCCAACCCCTGTGGAAACCATTTGGAAACCCGATCAAAAAAAAAGACCAAGATCAACCCTCAAGCTCATGCTACTTATTATAGCCCCGAAAATTAACCCCATAAGCCTTCGTCTCATCACGCCGGCCCTTATACTATTTGCAACTACCCCTTCCAACCTCCAAATACGCCGCGGCCCTCGAACCCTTAGCCGCAAACCCGAGATGCAGGATTTAGGTTCAGGGCTGCTGGCACAAAAGCCGAAAACACGCAACCCTAAAACTCAAGTACCTTCGGCCTTAAACCCTGAACTTCTAGCCGTTGTCGCGATCCTCACACTGCTGTCGGAGCTTCCGCGACTCTGCGGTCTCTTCAGGAAGCTCGACCACCTTTGCCGCGTTTACGGTTTACCTTTGAAGCTCGGGGGACTGGGAAGGAGCTCAGGGCGAGTGACGGGTTCAAGAGTTCAGGATTTTATAAAGTTCCCCTTTACCGCTCCAAGGCTCTTGGCTCCTATCAGCCTAGAAAGGATCGAAAACCCGACAATTCGAAGCTCTGAAATCGCAGAACCCTCGGAGATCTGCGAGGCATAGGACCCTGAGCATTCCGCACAACAGCTTTTCCACAGTATAGCCCTGACTCTAAACCCTCAGCTTAAATCCCGGACCCCTGAACACTGAACCCTGGGCCCCGAAAGCAAAAAGGAATTGCCTGGTCTTGTGCCGGGGTCTGCTGCACACACCAAGCCTTGCAGCAGATATTCACAATTTTACGTACAGCTACTTAAACAGCGCGCTCAGGGTTCACGGCTCAAAGATAGGATTTGGAGAAATGCAGCAATTTATTTTATAGTAGGGTTACAATGTAAAGCCTAACGTGAAACTTGATATAATATTCGTAATGACGATACAAAATAAGGTTCTGGTTGGTTTAGGTTTTAGGGGCGACGCTGCTGCATCGAAAAAGTTGCTATGGCATTGGCGGCCACTGGAAGAGCAGCCACTGCCAGGAGTAGCTGTCGCGGTGTAGGCGATGGTGGAGCACGCCCACGGCAATGAACCAGGCGAGCTTCTCGCTGGCCTGGTGGCAAGCCGCCCGAAAAGTTTTGCTTTGCTTGGCTGTCGCGGTAAAAGTCGCAGCTCCAATTTGCTCAGTTCTCCTCCTCCTTGCTTTTTCGCCAGTAAGCCTGGTACTCTGGGTCGACGGCGCGAAGTACTTGCTGTACCAGGATTTGTCGGTGTCCAACGTCCAGGTGCGACCCGCATGTCTCTCTTTTGCTTTCACCGTGCAGCCCAAGACGGGCCAGCAGAGCGGCGAGGCCAAACCACCGCGGCACGTCCTAAGAGCCACTGAGAGCACCGCAGGACCAAAGAAGACGGCGGGGGAAAGGATGCAAGTTCATGTCGTGATCCGCGGGCGTGCGGCGCAGCTACTGCAGCTTCAGCATCCAGCAAGTGCGGGGGACCGGGAGGCTGTTGGACTTAACTTGTGCCACAGAGTTCCAGCACTCAAATCCAGCAAACCCCACCCGCTAGAGTGCATGCTACCTTCAGGAGACGCCGGTCAGAACCGGGGTTGGCTCTTCCTTCGTGTTCGTTTCTTTCCCGTCTCTTCGAAAGAAACAGCGAGAACTCCCGAATTGGGATCTGCCAACCACAAGCTAACTGACCTTGCCGCATCTCCAGCTAGCCCTCGCAGCTGCAGCACCAAAGATACGAGTCTTACCGGGAAGCACCCTCGAGGAGGACACACGGCAAGACTTTTGCTTCCCGTCCACAGCAATCCTGAAGCCGGCGACATAGACATAGACCTTAGCATTCAGCGGGGGTGTTTGAAGGAAAGAGTCGTGGGTGGGCGGGACCCCAGGTGCACATGCCGCAGGACGAGGTGCCTCCAGCAGCAAGCGCCGGACGGTGTTCATGGGTGTTGTAGAGACCTAAGTCAGGCTACGTACGCGGTGTAGAGCTTGCATCCACGCTCGCGAAGTGCTGTCGGAGGACTCTCTTTTTTGAATTTATCTTCCCGCCCAGGGTGGATCGTGGTCAGAAGTAATATACTCCCACTGCTTTGTGCGAAAGTCCAGAGGATGGATCTCGGTCGCACAGCCAACTTGTACCCAGTATGGAAGAGTCGCACGCGCACTGATAGCGCACTATGGAAAGAGTGTCTGTGTGGTCTGGTTGTCACGTGTCGCTGCAGCAGCACGCTCCACCGGCAGAGTCATGTTCCCCTGTGGCGGACCATTGCCGCGCACTGGAACGCTTGTGGTCCTGGTGGCCGGCAATGCCGCGAGGCGGGGTGCCACATCTCTGCTACACGTCCAAAATCTCAATCTGTTCGAGCTGAGTTGTGTTTTTGCTGGGAACCCGGCGGAAATGGAGCTTGGCCGCTTTTCCATCAGCATCTTCTTCACTACTGCAAGCAAAACATCACGTGGCTTCCCGACGTGGCTGTGCCAGCGACATGCTCTGCCTGCCAAATACCAGGTAGCTCTCGGCCGGACTGGGCGTCGTCTTCATAAGGTCTCCTCGAGGAACTGCCAGACCCAGTCTGGGTGACCTTGACAAGACCGCAACAGCGCACTGTAGACCACGATAGAGAGGGACCACTCCACCTGACAAGCGGCAGCCACGAGCTTTCTTTGGTGCAGGACAACGCCATTGCCCACCTCGGAGGCAACAGCGGCCATGTCGGATCAACGGCGGGATGTTGCTTTTGCTGTTGCTTGATGCAGGCAGCGGCTGCGAGGACACAGCGGCTTTTCTAAGCAGATGCTCCACGTCCGACTCGCGACACTTCACAAAAGTTAGGTTTCTGGGACGTCGCGTAATAACCGAGGCTCAAACCTTCGGCAAGGGCTTAGGATTTTTAGGGTTCACGGTTTGATCTTAAGGTTCACCTTAAGCTGCTACAACTTACTTTATGGTGGGGTTCGAAGGTAAGGCCGTCCTTTCTTGCAGGTTCCTAATGTGAAACCTTGATTAATGAATATTCGTAATGACAATACAAAATCAGGCTCTGGTTGGTTCAGGTTTTGGGGGGCAAAGCTTTAGGGCGACCCCGCTGCATCCAAGATGCCGCGATGGCAAGCGTCGTGGTGATAAACCCTTAACCACTCAACCCTAAACCCCTAAAACCCTAAACCCCTAATCCCCTAATCCCCGAACCCTAAACCCTAAGCCCCTAACCCTAAATCTCTAAACCCTAAACTCCTAAACCCCTAAACCCCGGAATCCCTGAACCCTAAACCTAGCAGAGCTCAGGTCTTGGTGGACATCTTGGAAGCTCTATTAAACCACGCAGCTACAATCTCGTTTAGGATCTTCATGGCGCGAGTAAACTTTTGTTGCGGGACCCAAGTTTAAGGAACTACCCATACAACCTACGGTCAATCTTCCTTATGCGATAAGCTTCCTGATCGGTCCATATCGAATCCACTGTCGCTCCTTACTCCTTCCTCATTTCGCCCCTATGACTGTGGCCCAGATCCCCCACCAAATCCCGGCCGTTGACTCAGAGTCGTCCAGGACAGGGCTTGGGGTTTGGGGTTTCCTAAACCCTAAACCGGAGCTTGGGGTTTTGGGATTTGGGTTCTCGGGTTTGCCAAGAAGACAGCCTTCGACGGAACGGAGAATGCAGCAATGGCTCAGCAGGTTGCTACTTGCTACAAACAGGGCGTCTCTGCAAAGCGCAACCAGTGCAATGTCCCGCCGATGCACCCCGACATCACTTAAAGGATCATGGGACTTAGTAACTAGGGCTATTATAGAGTAACTATACTTATAATTACATATAACCCCAATTAAGGAACTTATAACCATAGTTACTAAGTCCCATGATCCTCCAAGCAAGACTGGGCGAAAAGCCAAGGCGGGCTTCAACACTCTCCAGGGCAACTGAAGGCTCAGGAAACGCACAGAAGGCTGCTGGAGATAGGATCTTCAACTACATGCATAAAGCCTAACCCCGAACCCCCCCCCCCCCCCCCCCGCTAAAGACTAAACCCTGAACCTCTAAACCCTGAACCCCTAAACCCTAAACCCTAAAGCCCTCGTCAACCCCCCGAGGGCCCCAAAAAGCCCTGCTTGCGGATCCTCCTCGGCCGGTGCAGGTAGACAAGCCTCCAGCGCCACGAGCCTTCTCTGGAAGCCATGGGAAAGGGGCTGGGTTTTGGGATTCAGGGGTTTGGGGGTTTTGGGGTTTAGGGTTTAGGGGTTTAGTGGTTTAGGGGATTAGGGGGTAGGGGTTCAGGGGTTCGGGGCTTCGGGCGCGTGCGTTGAGCTGAACCCTTACAAAGCCGTAAAAACTCTAATAAACACCCTGCATCCTGTCACAACCAGGAGAATTACAGAAACGACGGTGAAAGTGACAGTGAGAACACGATGTATGATATCACTATCGCAACCTTCAGCACTGATGATCAAAGGACACCGTGTAGCCAGCAGAGCGTGAAGACGAATGCACTGACGAGAGAGAACCGTACTCAGAATGAGTACAGCGGTAACAGACAGAGTGATAACAGTAACGACAATGGTCATAGCCGTAATGACTATGACAATGATTCCAGCTGCCATGAGGCTGTAGGGATCATCCCAGTATCGGGAGGGAGAAGGATTCTGAAGCCCGAGTGCCCCCAGCAAGCATTTTCCAGGAAAGAACGATCTCGCAAGTACGCCTAGTCCAAAAGAAGGAGTAAGTTGCTGTCGCGCGTAGGAACCGGGACGGAGCTATTATGTCCATCCTGGCAAATCAAGAGCAGTAAACGGTCCAACCTGCACGCGGTAAGACCTCAAACCGGTCACTGCTATCCATAGCGAAAGTCAGCGACCCGCAACTCAGCCAATCGCTATTATCATCAAGAGTGCAATCAGGTCCACCAACCCACCAGTTGTTGGTTGCGCCATGATGCTACCATTTCCTAGATACCTCTAGAGGAAAAAGAAGTGCTCGTAGGCTGCTGCCGACCTGCATAACGACTCTAAACCCTCTGTCCTAAGTCGTGAACCCTAAAAACTGCGGAGAAAAATTACGCAACTAAGACAGACCGAAACCCTACAAGGACATCGTTCAATGCACGCGCAGATCTCCGTCCAAACCAAACCCACAACTGCAAAACGAACACCCGCAACCCTGAAATCCTAAACCCTACATGCTAAACCTTAAACCCAACCCTCAAATCCTAAACCCAAAATCCTAAGCGTGTTGAACACGAAATCCTAGGCCCAAGACCATAAAACCCAAGGCTTGTGACCTAAACCGTAAACTCCCTAAGTACGAACGGCAATAGCAACAGCAACAACAACAATGGTCACAAAATGATAGTAAGCGAAATAACAGCAACCATACCAGCAATAATCCCTCTGATGAAGAGAGGAAGACTAGCAACAAATAAAAACGTAGCAATGAGACTAACAACAGTAATCATGAATCATAAATACTCGTATGCCTCAAACTCATCAACTGATGCGGCATGTCATTTCGAGCCTCGCCCCTTTCAGACCTTTGGCCGAGAGCTTGGTGAAGGTTTGGGGATTTAAAGCTTATTTGGAGGGGCAGGGGGCTTGGTAAGTAGGTTGGTATACCAGAGTTTTAAGTACCCTAAATGGCTACTTATAACCTCGTTACTACGTCCCCTGCCCCTCCAAGTAGGGTTTGGGGACTGAAGGCTCTAGAGCTTTATGGTCGCATTATACGGTTTCGGGCGGGCTTTAGGCTTTCAGGGCTTAGGGTTTCGGGTTTGAGGCTTCGGGCTTTAAGTTTAGGGTTTAGGGCTTCGTGCCGGCTGGAGCACAAGAGAGGCAGGAATTCACGAAAAAGCCACGCAAGGTCGCAAAGGCTCTCAAGCTGGGATTGCAAGACCTTAGTAATTTGGAGAGCAGGTTTGGGGGCCAATTACCCAGATAGCCCAATACCCCTTAAATAAGGAGTATGGCTTAAATTATGCAAGGCTTCATAATGTATTCTTTAATTAAGGGCTATTGGGCCCTCTGGGTGAATAACAATTATGTAGGGACTATGACTATGAGCGCGATAGTGCTACTAACTGTTCCCACCTCTGCTTGTTCCCATTTCGACAACCCAAATCTGGGTCGCGAGCTGTCCGCATCCACAGCCGTCTCACCTCGACGCAACCTGCCCGGAGCTTCGGGCTAAACAGTCATGCGTTTAAATAAGGGCTCAAAAGAAGTATAGGGCCTTAGGAATTCAAGTCGGGTTTTGTGGTATAGTTACCCAGACCCCCCGGGAGGATCTAGAAAGTAGATCCCTAATTTGGGCCCCTATACTACTGAGGGTACTGTATAGGAACCCCCATTAAGGGATCTACTTTTCGGATCTTCCCAGGAATCTGGGTAGCTGCAGTTATGTGTAGTCTCAAGCGGGCTCCAAAGATCAGACGCTCCTCTCAAGATTTTGGGTTCATGGACTTCTGTGCTGAAGCTCCTCGTTGCAGAGGCCTTAATGATTAGAATAGGGGTTTAGGGAATTCCTTATGAAAATTATGGTATAGTATACCTTAATGATTAGAATAGAGTTTTACATAGGGGTTCCTTATAACAATTATAGGATAATATACCCCCAAGCCATATTCTCGTTATTGAAGGCCCCAACATTAAGGCCCAAAGCCGCCTCCAGTAGCACCAGCAGACGCAGCCGACTCGGATGAGCTGAAGCAAACCCACCTGAGCGGCTTCTATTGACGGGAAAACTCGTGGGTTTCGGGTTGAAGTAGGGCCCCAAAAAAGCACAAAAGCAAAAATTAGGATAGGAATGTCCCATATAACCCCCCTTATAATGAAGCCCATGAAGGCAGGGATATCCCTATAAAATGCTTATGCTTATGTGCTATTGTTTGGCCAAAATATGAAAACGTCTTAGAAAAGAAGACGTCGACGGTGAAGTTTGAGCCTTTAGACAAAATCGAGGAAGCATGACCGAGGAGAAGTTTAGCGCAGACAAGCCGACAAGAAAAAGAAAGCAGACGAAAATGATGCCGAAGAAGCGAGAAGCTAGCAAGAGTGTGCTTGAGCACGCTCTTCCGGGGAGAGAAGTGCTCGAGCTTAAGAGTTCTTTCTGGACTACTAAACGCAAGCGTCTTGTGCTGAATGCACAGGGTCTGACAGCTCTTCACGAGCTACGGCTAATCAATGATCCAGTTGGTCTGGGTTCCGTGCCATCATAAGAACGCATTCAACGTGCTCACTGCATACCCCTTTTCGTGGTAACTTCCGTAAAACGGAATAGCCTACCTTTTTACGGACTTATATGAGGAACTCATAATAAGGAACCCTAAAAAGGTAGGTTATTCAGGGTTAAGGTTAAGTCTAAACCCTAAACCTGAGAACCCAGCTCATGGTGGGAGGACGGGCCGAAGTCCCATCACAGAACTCTGACGATGCTGAGCTTCGCCCACGTCGTCACACGAACTTTGAATCTTCTCCTAGCGGAAAGCCTCGTGGGCACCTGTGAAAGCTTCGTGTCTGGTAGTGCTTCTTAGGGTTAAGTCGGCAGTTCCCTATACCCAAAACTGCAGATTGGGACGGGGGGGTTGGGGCTTGGATGTTATGCTCTGAATCCGCACAGCAATCATGCGGTGCCCATACCTGGTTTTGAGGCTGTCGAAGTAAATAAAACACACTGCATCAGCTTAAGGACGTAGTTCTTTATTTTTCTTCCTCTGTCTGGTGCTTAGTACGGAATGGGGTAGTAGTCCCTATATAATCCCCCATAGTAGTCTCCATAATCCATTCCCCCATTCCCTACTAAGAATCAGTCATGGAAGAGCCCTTATGCTCTGTAGTGAGGCCTTAGAGCAACTCAAGCGATGGACGTGAACATGTCCAGGATGACAAAATATAGGGGCCTTAATAATTAGAATAGTGTCTTTGGGGCCATTACACTCTAGCTATAATAAAGAACCTCCAAAAAAAGTATAGGTATTGATTAAAGCCCCTATTTTAAAGAGCCACGCACTGCAGACGCTAGAGAAAGAGGTGCCTTCCGAGGCTCTGAGGCTACAGAGGCTCGAGCATTAACTCTTCGAGTGAGTCTCGAAGCATTGCTTGGCAGGCTTTGCTGCCAGAGTTGAGGATTTGGGGCTTTGGAGTTAGGGTTCGTGTGTTTAGGGTTTTAGGCGTTAGTAGACTAGGGTTTAGGGCTTTGGAGCTTTATGGTTTTGGCTGATTCCCAGGACCTTGGAGCCTTTAGCTCTAGACCTTGTGCAAGGCACACCTTTGACCTTGTACGTTACTTGACGGAGCATGGGACAGGGGGCTTAGGATTTTAACATGGTAAGAGCGCGAAGTCAGTTGCTGCATGTGTCTTGCTAACGTAGTGGGGATGGCTCCAAAGCAAATCGGGCCGTCCGCTCAGGGGAAGCTCACTTGCAGCCGCCTCAGAAGCTCAAGGCGAAGCTAGGGTTTAAGGGTTAGGGTTTACGGGTTTTGGGTTTAGGGTTTAGGGGTTTTGGATTTAGGGGTTTTGGGTTCAGGGGTTTTGGGTTTAGGGGGCTTTCGTGCTCGACTGCATCAGGCCCCTGGCGGTTTAGGATTTAAGGAGAATCTCAAGATGTGCATTCTCCGCAGAAGTCTTGGCCTTCCCCATACAGAACCCCAAATCCCAGAGCCTCCAAAACCCCTCAATTCAGGAATAGACTTTCAAGTCTAATCAAGGTTCCGAATATAGTTTAACCCTAAACCCTAAACCCTAAATATTCCTTAACTAACGGGTGTTGGGGACAACTAAAAAGATGCGTAAATCAATTTCCTCATACCGGGGCCGGCTGCCTCTCAAAGCAGGTTCAGGCCAAGAAGGAGGAAGGCCCCATAGATTTCAAGGGATATTATGGTTTAGGGTTTAGGGTTTGGGGTTTAGGGTTTAGGGTTTAGGGTTTAGGGTTTGGGGTTTATGGTTTGGGGTTTGGGGTTTCGGGTTTTGGGGTTTGGGGTTTAGGGTTTGGGGTTTTGGGGTTGAGGGTTTTGGGGTTTGGGGTTTAGGAAGGTTCGGGATTTTCCTTCCTCAAGGAGTCGAGGGGTCTTTGGGTACCAGCCCTTAGAATAGCCCTGTTTGGGACGAAGAGGAGCGGCCTTTGAGACTTTTGCGGGGCTGTCGGGTTCATGCTCAAATGCTCATTGAGGCTCAGGCTTAGGGTTTGCCGGTACAGTCTTGCAGGGCATAAGGATCTACGGCATCTAGGGCTCGATAAAGAAGTCTTTACAGGCTTTTCCCTAGTTTCTAGGGTTCTAGAAGGCTTCTATCCCGTCAGGCTTAAGAGCTCTTAAAGTAAACCATATCCTTGCCCTCATAGTAGCCCTTACAGGACTCCTTATAAAAGGAACCCATAAAGGAATCCTCAAAGGAACCTTCAAGGAGCCCTCCAAGGATTCCTTAAAAGATCCCTTAAAGGAACCCTTTAAAGGAAGCTTTCATAGTTCTGTAGTAGCCCAAAAGTTGGAAACTCAATAGCCTCAATCCTGAAGAATGATGTGCTAGGGGTTGAGGGTGATAAGGTCTGGGGCTACAGGGCTTTAGGGTTTAGGGTTATAGTAAACCTCATAAAGTTGGAAACCGGATTAAGCCGAATAGTGCTGGGATTCCCTATCCCTAAACCCCTAAAGCCGGTAACCCTAAAGCCCTGTAGCCGCAGCCCTTAGCGGCTCCAAGGCACGGTTCATGGCCAGGACAGGGTTCCTCCGCGCAGAGAAGCCCGGGATGCGCCGGGGCTTCAGAGGCTCCGAGCCCTTCTCCTGCCCAAGGAAAAGGGTGTTGTTTTTTTGGAAAAGGTTTCAGGGCTTAGGGTTTCGGGGTTTAGGGTTTAGGGTTCAGGGGCTTAAGGTTTAGGGTTTAGGGGTGTAGGGTTTAAGGGTTAAGGGTGTAAGATTAAGGGTTGAGGGTTTACGGTTAAAGTTGACTTGGAGGATCATTGGACTTTGTAACTATGGTTCCTGAAAAGGTTCCTTAAAGGGCTCCTGAAAAGGGATCTATAAGGGTTCTATAAGTGCTACACGGGTGTATGAGGGTCGTATGTGTTATGTAGCTTATATCCAAGGGTAAAAGGAGGGACCCTGAATAAGGACCCCTAGGTATATACCCTTAATACAGCTAATATATACCCATTATATAGCCCATTAAAGGGTAGGGGTCCCCACTAAGGGTCCCTCCTTTTCCCCCTTGATTATACGAGGTCTTAGGACTTGACGTTTCCTCACCGGAGATCCAGGAAACACCGTACAGTTACGCTCAAACGGAACTCAAACCTAAGGGATAAACAAGGGTGTTAAGGTTTAGGGCTTTAGGGTCTTAGGGTTTTAAGGCTTAGGGCTTTAGGGCTTTAGGGCTCTAGGGCTTTAGGGTTTAGGGCTTTGGGGTTTTAGGGTTTAGGTCTTTAGGGCTTTAGGGTTTAGGGCTTTAGGGTACAAAGGAACCTGGAGATGAACTCTAATAAGGAATTGCGAAGCCCGCAAAAACCAAAGCCGTCAGAAACCCCTAATCCCTAATCCCTAAACCCTACCTTGTTTTAGGGTCCCCTAGTTTCGGAAATTCCCATACCTTCTGAGCTCAATGAGGGACACTTGGAGGGGCAGGGGACTTAGTAAGTAGGGTTATAAGTAGGGTTATAATTGGGGTAACTCCATTCAGGGTACTTTCAACTCTACTTATAACCATACTTACTAAGTCCCAAAAGCCCCTCCCAGTAAACTTTAAATCCTCAACCCGAAACCCTACACCAAGGAACCTGGAACCATGGGCAAGGCTAGGCTCTGCAATCTAATGTCTCGGCCTGTAGGGGTTGGGGGGGGGTACATTATACTATAATACTTGCAATAAGACATATGCCCGGAGCCTCCAAAAACACCTCAAAACATAGTTTTCTCCTTAAATCTAACTCGGGTTCCTCTTAGAATTTAAGGTTTGTTCTAACACCATGCCTAAAACTAATGAGGGTTCCTGTTCAAATTTAAGGTATATTTCTTCCTTGAAGGGTTTTGGAGGCTCTGGGTGCATCTGCGCATGTGCATATACGCAGACGTAGACGTGTACATACGGACATACATACAGATGTGTGTATATATATGTATACATACACGTCTATGTCCACAACTTGCATGTACACATACATATGTGCATGTGCGCATGTGTATGTGTGTATATATATATATATGCGCATTGCCCGACGAACGAATACACGAAAACCACCAAGAACACAAACAAACAGACACACGATCAAAAAAACATGCATGTTTAGATGCACACGTGCTTCCACACATACATGCATTCATACATGCTGGCATGCATGCATGCATGAATGTTTACATACGTACAGAAACAGATACATGCATGCAATGTACGCATGTTTACATGCATACATACATACATAATCATACATAATCATACATACACAGGATACGACGATTCTCGATAGAGGCTGGCCCACCGGAAACTTGTACCACGTGCCCGCCCCTGCAAATGACAAAGCGGCCTTCGCGCGGGTCTCCCGAATCTCCTCAGGGTTTAGGGTTTAGGGTAAGGATGTAGAGTGTTCAAGATTGATCTAGAACCTGACTGTTGATGCGGAAAATCTGGCGCTGCCTTACGTGCCACACCATGGGAACTAAACTCAAGTTTGCTCACTACGAGTAATGCAGGATCATGTCCATCCACAGCAACTCTGAAACATCATTGA